ACTGACCAACGTGGTGAAATATGGTTAAACAGCACCCATGACCGATACGGTATGGGGGAGGCATCATCCATCAGCGGACTGGGCAAACGGCTGTAAATTATTATTTTTGTTATTGTGGGCACTGGCGCTAAATGCGTAGAGGGTTGGCCTTGTTGAATTCAGTGGCCTGGCCACAGCTGCACACTGCAATGCACCAACACTGCAGAATGCTGCTTCCCCAATAGGTTCTGAATTTCTGAACGCTCACATAAAACCCTCCCCCCTCTGGTCTCACTCTACTCGCCTCCACGCACTCTCTCCGCTACAGCAACCAAGGCTTTTCTGTTGAAGCTATGCGGTCTCATTTAAATGTTGTATGAATCCAAATTGTGTTGTATCGCCACACAAGGATAGTCGTACCGTAGTTCCGAATATTCTGTAGGTGCACTATGTGACGGACACTATAGAACACAATGTGTGCCAATATACGGATTTTACAGACGTATGATTCATGCAAGTATGAAAACACGTAGGTTTACACGTCTGGGTCTGCGCTGCATTTAAACTTACTCACTAGACTCCTGTTTGCTAATTGGAGCAGAATGTCCCGACATTGCAATGGCATTGCTTTGTTTTGCAAAGACTATGGTGAACCGTAACTGACGCACCATGTGAACTTTAGAACGGACGACAAAACCGAATGAATCAACTCGGGATCCTGGGCGGTAGATACAGCACCACCACCCCTGCTTGGCACAAAGACGCAGTGTACAGTAGAACTAAGGGGCAGGGTGCACGAGAGAGCAGCGTTCACACGAAATGTTCACGTGAATAGTACAGAAAAAAGAACAACCCTAAGCCTTGCCACTATTACCACTGCCACTCGGCAAGTATCGACAACAACAAAAAGCCAGTCTTAAAATGGAATATTTTACGGAATAATTGTGGATGCTGCTACTGCGGTGCGATGGTCAGTGAGCACTCCATGTGCAGTCACAGAGGTCACCGGTTCGATCCCAACTCCCAGCGTGGCAGTGGAAACAACCGTTAAAGTTTCTTAAATCCCCCCTGTATGTATGTATGTATGCACGGTATGTTGAACTTCTTTCACACCATACGTAGCCAACCGTGCTAATTGGAGGTGCTGGGGAAAGGACAACTAACCAAACACAAAAAGTAGTTCTAAAGAAATGAGTTTTCAATTTAGCTTTAAAAGTGCAATAGCCTCCGGTTGCTGGAGCTATTCAATGTCCACCCAGCAGGATACATTGGTACAACACAGGTAGTCGATCGGCAGGTCTGGGATTTTGCTCGTGTTATGGCTTCGTGAATAGCAACGTGAAGATCCACGCCCAAGTTTGAAAGCCATGCGACGGCTTCGGGCGAGGCCGAATGAATTGCTGCTGTGCCTCTGTTGTGGCTGTGGTGTCGGGTACATTGTGGGCAATCCCACCTCTTCAAACATCTTTATTTTAGACCGGAGGAGGAATCCGAGAAGCTATGAAGCTCTATAATGGGACCTTTTTTGCCAGTATCAAAGTATGAAATAATAAGAATAGGTTTTACCCTTAAATATTGACTTAAAACTTTCGTGACTGCAGGAATTCATATTTTTTGGTTCTTTCGGTAAAGTCACGCAGAGAGAACAATTACCACGTGACTTTACCGAAAGAACCAAAGAATAAAGGAATAGGTTTTACCCTTGCTCTCTCTGGTGTAGGCCAATCAGTTTCAAAGACAATGCGTATATTATCAGAGCATATTTGTTTGCATGTTTACCACAAGTACGTGTGGTGAATGCAGACTTGAGCCCATTTTCACAGTTGTCCAGTAGATGCCTTACCAGCATGGACAAGGGGGTCAAATACCCTCTAGAGGGGCTCTCAAGAGCTCCCTCGAGTAGAGGCCCGTCCATCAGCAGTGGTGAGAAAGCAATTTCAGGGCTGCACCTACATCTTTAAAAAAATGTTTAAACAAAATAATTAGTTAATCTCCAACTTTATAATGGTCAGCAAAAACAGGGAACAATTTCAGGCTGGGTGTCTGATCTTCTATACTCTTACAAAAATTGAAGGGATGTGATTTAAAACCAGCCAGGGCCAACTTTTTTTCTCTTTCTCAAAAGACGCCAGCAGCCTACGTTTGTTTCCCATGAGGTCGTTCCAATTAGAGTCCAATAATTGGATTTTTAGGCACAGGTCACAATTCGAGGCCAACACCAGATTTCTGAGCCGAAGCCTGCAGTGTTTCGCGTCTACGCGCATGTTTGGTGAGGATATTTGAAGAATGCTGCTGCTTTGCTCTCAGGGCTATCCCAGGTGCCTTTGCACAACAAAGGACAAAAGACACGGAGGGGTTAAGGCAGGTCATCCAAATAAAGAAAAAAGCTCCCATCATTTCAATGCGATGGAAAGGGAAAAAGGCTATGGGGGCCCAAGCTTGTCATTGATAAGCTCTGCGTTACCTCGGCTTCTGAGAAAGCAAACGGTCGTTGGGGAACATCCTTTCACCCCTTCGCTTGCCACCTCCCCATTGTGGCATTTGGGCACAGGCCATCATTGTGGCAGTTGGGCACAGGCCATCATTGTGGCAGTTGGGCCATCATTGTGGCAGTTGGGCCATCATTGTGGCAGTTGGGCCATCATTGTGGCAGTTGGGCCATCATTGTGGCAGTTGGGCCATCATTAGCAGCTGCCGCACTCAGCACAGGGCCTGTTGCATTTTGCTGGGTCCACCGCAAATGGCTACCTACTCGCTGCCGTGCTAGCATGCGTGCTGGTACTTTTCATCTTACAAACACAGTTACAGTACACAACGTGCTCTACTGGGAACGCTTGTCGTTTAGCCAAAAAGCAAATCACCACGAATGCACCCGATTTCTATCAGTGCTCGTGAGCCGAGCAGGCGCTGAGCCCGGTTCGTACTTGAATGTAACACAGTCGAGGAAAACCAAGCGTCGTAGGCTTGGTTTGTGCGTTGGCCACGATAGAGGAGTACAGTCATAAACTTAATACATCTGCATGAAACGTAAATATAAATTTGCCATTAAACCCGCCACCACCCAACACAGGCAATTAGTAAGGTTTGTTATGTAAACAAAATATGCCAATTAGTTACTACTTCAGCACACCGGTGTGTTGGAGAGTAAACCCGTCCTTGGACAGGTAAAAAAGGTAATGGAAAATATTGGTCACGAAAGCCTACTTGTTAAATTGATATCTGCAAAACGTTTGAGTGATATCCCCTCGTATGCGAGGGTTTACCTCCGGGTACTCTGGTTTCTTCCTAACAGCCAAAGACATCATTAATGTGTCCGGCTAAACATTCCATTGCAGCATCCGCCTGAAGGCAGAGTCATGACTTAGTGAGGCTTCCTCTGTGAGGCTGCCACAGTGCTGAGATGTTAACGACCTCGCCTGGTATGCAGGAGGTTGTGAGTTCGATCCTGACCCTGACGCCTGCTGTTGCTGTATATTTGGAGTTTGCATGCTCGCCCTGTGGTCGTGTGGATTTTTTCTGGGTCCTCTGGATTTTGCCTCCACATTTAGAAACATGCGTTTATGGCATTTGACTCCTATAAATGTCCACGTGATAAGCCACTTCGTTGAGCTATCATTTGTTGCCTGGTCGTTTATGAAAAAGAGCAAAATAGCTCAGTTGGCTTTACCTGGTAAAATAAAGAATAATTTAGTTTAATAGTTTATAGTTTCCCGAGATGTAAGAAAAGGCCGTAGTTTAAAATCAGCAAGACCATCCACGTGATCGTGTCTCTCGATGAAAATGCACAGGCGAGGTCACATCTGTAAGCACAGTATACGGAAACAAAGAGTAAAAGATCACTGCTCATGTTCTATCCAATGAAGGACTGCACAGGCAAACACTATCATGGCATACGGTGGGATGGGCACTCTCATCGCACTGGGCAGGCGCGTGGAAAATGTCATCATCGTACGAGCCTCGTAATGGACGGGTTTTTTCGCTCTTTTTGTGTCTATTTCGATTGTTATTGCAAAGGGGCTGTCGGTGCCATATCGTGAGATAAAGAGGTTGCCAATTTTGTACCATTGCCGTGAGCAGTGCATCACCCTGCACCAGAGAAGAGCCTACGGAAGTTGATATCATAGAACTGCTTCTGAGCTCTATTTAAGTACCTTCTCAGGGACAATGTTCATTCTCCTTTGCCCTGGCATAAAGATGTTTATCGTGTGGCAGTCAAACCGATGGCAGCATTATTTTGTGAGTCTTGATTTTTGCTAAATTAAGTAAAAAAACCTAACACGATGGCTTTCCTGTAGTCATTGTGACCAAGCAGGGACCACCAACTGGCTATACTTGAGAACACCGGTATATAATTATCAAGGGTGGTGCTGAAACCTCGATTTGTGAACCCGGTCCCGGCTCATCTCACTCACCCAGCCACCTCTTTGTCCAGGGTTGTCTGCAACTGAATGTGCCACCGTTCCTCTACAGTCCAGCGGTACTGAACCGGGGTGACGCGGACCCCCTGGGGTTTACGTGGCAACGTCGCAGGGGGTACGCGATTTTTAAACGTGTGAAATTATTTCATACGTGAGGAATAATCATGCAGGGAGCGTGTTTTTGTTTTCATGTTCACCACAAGTACCCTGTGTGGTTAATGCAGACACGATTCCTTGCAAAAGGTTTCAGTGTGGTGTTTTAACATCTGAACACAACTGTTTTATTGCCAGAGAGGGTAAGGCCTATTATCATAAATTACGGGATGCATGCAGAGCGTCCGTTTTAGTATACATTTGAATTCGCTTGCAGTTGCTAGCTAGTCAGGGATACCTCACAAAATGAACAATTGAGTTAAAATATTGATGTTCATTCATTCACAGATTTAATTCTCAGAACCATGTTGGGTCAGGTACGTAGGGGCGGGCGGCGGCGGCGGGGGGGGGGGGTACTCGATTGAAACAAAATTCAACAAGGGGGTAAGGTACAAGTAGCCGACACGAGGTTGAGGACAACTGCTCTGCACGCGACGCGGCGACCGGCACCTCGACGAAGTTGCTGATGTCCTCGTGGCCCTCGAATCCTGGCAGCCTCTTTTCCAGACAAATGACGCTCACGTCCTCCGAGTGCTTGCAGTCGTGGACTCCCCAGCCATTGGACTGGCACTGGATTAGTGATCTCTCTTCTCCATTGCAGTAAATGTTGTCCAACAGAATTGGTCCTGGAAACAGGCGGGGGCAGGGGGGGGGAGAGGGGGCACAGGGGGAGGGAAGGGGGGGAGGGGGCAATCCTTGTAGCAAATGATCCAGCTCAAAATGTGTTGGAGAACCGCAGCCGACCGACAGGGTGACGATTGCGATGCTTGGGATTTCTCTCCCTTTGCTGCGATCGTGCGGCAAAATCTCAGACGCTGTTGCAAAAAAGCAGAAGCAGAGAGCGTGAGTCGATATATCTTCTCATAACACTTCTGCTGTGACGGCGGGTATTAGGGTACAAGGCGCATTGCGTGCGCACGCTACCGCCAAATGCCATTGCACAATGGGAACAAGCACAGAACGCTTGCCAACTGACTGCAGCCGTATACAGATCAGATAAGGGAGCTTCCTGCGAAGTAGCGCATTACTTTATCTGAGGGGCTCGATCAGCCCTGAAGCATCAGACCGTTTAAATGCAGGGCGCGAGTGACCTTCAGTGTCGATCTGTATTCCTCACAGAAATTTACCTAAGGCGACGCTGCTGTGGCCGCTGGCAATGCGTTATTACCGCTCTTCTTGCGGCAATTACACGGACAAGTCACAAAAGAAATTGTTGTAAATATACACGTGATATTTTGGTTTCCTGAGAAAGTCTCGCGTTGAGTTCATGCGTTGTGATTCGGCCCACAATGCGTGACTTGCTTTAATTCGTGCTGTTTACATTTTCAGTCTTACCCTGGGAGTAGCGGGGGGTTGGGGGTTGGTGTGTTTTTTAAAGACTTCTCAGATCTGTTCATCTATACTTAAACTATAGTTTCATGAATTTCTCGTATTTTGCTGTTATAGTACTAATCATAGTACTTTTTAAACTGTGGTTTTCACACCTGATGATGATTGCTTGTGTTGCAGTCAAAACGTTGTGAGAATTTTATTGTTTTATATTTTTATTATTTTATTGTTTCCCTTCTACGTGACTTTACCGAAAGAACCAAGAATATGGTATAAATGTAGTTTGATTATTTTTTTTTATATATAAATATGCATTCTTTAATGAACACGATAATTACTTACTTATCCATGCGATTCATTACGCGACTTGCAATCAGTAGCTACAATAGAAGAGCAGTACAGTCGCTAAACTTAATACATCTGCGCGGAGCGTAAATAAAAATGTTCCATTCAACCCGCCACCACCTGACACAGTAAATTAGTAAGGGCTTTCAAGTAAACAAAACATGCCAATTAGTTGCTAGTTGAGGACACCGGTGTGTTGGAGAGTAAACCCACAACGTTTACAATTCGAGTACGACGTTTCGCTGGTTGTTACAACCGACATAATCGAAAAGTTATTTTAAACGCGTGGGATTTCGACGATCACAGCATAACCCTTGCAAATAATACAACAGCCCCGAGTAGCTTTTTACATTTTGTTTTTATCTACCGAGCCTTTCAAGTAGCGGCTTGTGAGTTCTATTTCAGATTCTGGTTTTGAAACGATTCCACCCAGAGAGGAGTGACCTTCGGGAGACTGGGAGGGCCCTCCACTGGATACGTGGACCGTGAAATGCACACCCTGTTCTGTGTTTGTAGTGCACGGGTGCGGTGTTCACCAACTCTCTTCTGCCCTGATCCAGGTCAGGAAGCAAGGCCGTGTTTGTCCTTTCACTTCGAGTCACCAGTGGGGCTCCCCCCCCTCCCCCCCCACCATCTTCCTCTTGGGCTCTTTTACTGAACGCATATTTTCATACTCGTTTATGAATGTCTAAAAAACAACAGCAGCAGCAGCAGCAACAGTAATTTGTCGTCTAACCCAGTAAGGCCTAATTTAATCCTGCGGCTGACTCATGCTCAGGGAGTTGCTATAGAACTTGGGACGTGTAGGCAACGTAGGGTGTTTTGTGTGTGGGAGTCAGCTGGATTTCCCGGAAGAAAAAAAACCCCACACACACACTCAAACTCTACACAGCTGCGTCAGAAACCTATTTGCTGTACTGCTTGAATATAAGCACTTTGCTGCCATGCAGATAGCTGTCACCTCGATAATAATTCCACTAACTCCACCACCCAGTGACCGAATAACACCTGCCAATCTTAATACGATCTCCATCAGCCTCTGGGCCATCTGAACTCATGCTTTGCAACAACATTTGTTTAAGCGGGCAAACTGGATCGCTTTTGACTCGCCGAGTCTCACTTAGCAGTCAGGCTGGTGCAAGAAATGCTCTCTCGATTGCGAGATGTCACATGCAAGGGTGGTCGTCACGAGTGGGGTGAAGTGTATGAATAACTGACCTCATGATCGCATTGTGCTTTATCGGACAGTGATACACCAGGGTTAGCAAAGTGCTGAGAGCGAGTCAGCAAGAGGCTTCATTATAATCAATCATCATTGCAGAAATTGATGCGTTACAGCCTCAGTTACTTTCGATGTCTGGAATGCGTTCTGAGAGTTGACAGCAAGGACTAAAATAGCAAGTGGACGCCACAGGAATATTGCTTGCGTAACACTCGTGTGCACTGAGACCCCAGATCAGTGTTCTACACCCACGGCCTGCTGACATCATTCGCTGGTACAGCATTGTAAGGATGTTCACCAGGTGAATCCTGCAGCCATCCACTGGCTCACTCACCAACCTCGGCATGGCCGTGTACACGGTGCTGATCAACTCCCGACCAATACGAAAGGAGTTGAGGTTTCTTTAAAAAAAAAGCTATAATACGAGTAACCGTGCAGCAAGCGGTGGTCTGGGTGGCGATGACCCAGCCAAATCAAAAGGGGGGTCGAGGGGGGGGGTGACCTTGATTCGTTTATGGTGAAGAGCCGTGCTTGCGAGCGAGCTCTGTCTCAGCTCTGTTCTTTGAACGCTCCAATCAGATTACTCTGTGCTCCTCGGGCGGATCTGTCACTGCGCACACTCACACATTGTGCGCCCAAGTGTTGAATTGCGCGTAATAAAATGAAGACTAAAGCAGTGTCTCTCCACACAAAAAGTATAAAATATATATACCCGGTATGTTTGTTCTCCGTGTGTCGAGGGGCCTTGCGAACCACAATGCCTTTCAGCAGCATTTGTTTCAGCAGGACTACTCCAGACCGCTGTTGCCTCTCATTTAAACAGCCAGGCCCCATTTAACAAATGCTGCTAGATTGCTTAGATTTTTGTTGAGTTAACAGACTCGGCTTATTATGTATTAACTTATTTGTTATTATTGTACACAGTTTCGGGATCAGTCGGATGAGTGTTTCGGTGCTTATACAGGGTGCTTCAAAAAATGTTAACACTTACATGGGACTATCGTTTTTAATGGAAAAGAACGGATATTACACTGTTACATGATAACAAACGTATGTTAATAGCTTCAAAAAGTGAAAGAGTCTCTACTTGTTCGTCATCAATGTCAACGCGTGGCCTGGAATCTTCTCCAGATGGTCTCCAGAGCCCGGAGGCAGCAGCACATGTCACGTGGTATTGTTGCAAATTCTCAGAAATGTTAACATTTGTTTTGAAGCGCCCTGTTTATATATAAAAAAATGATAAACATTTTTCACGCAAAATTCTCCAGTGTTACACTTCCCAGGCAGTGGATGCCGTGGAGGGCTGTCAAACATGGTATGTGCCCCCACGTAATCTATCTCCTAACAGAAAATGTAATACGTACGGTTCTTAGTCATCTAAGTTATTCGCCCGATCACTAAACCAAAGAGTATGAATCCTTGCAGTCATGAAAGCTTCAGACGTAGAAATATTAGCGCCTGTGAACTAATTGGCTCGGCATGCACCCGATCTCATCGGATCCCGGAAACTAAGCAGGGTTGAGACTGGACATTGCTTGAATGGGTGACTCCGCATCCATGAGAGGTTGTTATAAGCTCAGAGGGGGGGGGGGGGCACGTGGTGAGCAAGAGAGGGTAGTGCAGCTTTGCGTTGTTGTCCCATCATTCTATGCTCCCACGTCAATGTTCCCCACCTCCACCAACCCACGGTGACCAATATGACGAGGTGTGGTTGAACAACTCCCCCACAGCTCTAAATGCGTTGGGAGGCCCTCACTTGGCGGTGGATTGACAAAAGGGCTGTACACGTACGATCGTGATACAATCGTAAAACAAATTAAAAATAATATAAAAAAAACTATGAGGATGTCCCAGAAGTGGAAAACCTAGAAAGGGGGGGCTGGTCAGTGTGGGTTGGTGAAGGAGGGACCCCAGGACCGGCTCAGATATCACTCGCCACTGATGTTAGCCGTGACCCGGAATAAAATACAGGTTTCCAGGATCAGAGCAGAGTGCGTGAATCTCTACACCACCGCTCCTCCCCTCATCGATCATTCGGTTCAATGGTTGGGCTTGCTTACAAAACGGTAACATTTTGAATTAAAAAGTATCTAAATATGAGCTCACCTCGAGCCGCTGCACAAGGATGGGAGCGAGGCCTAATTTCTCACAGGATAATTTTCGGGGTCGCTGGAAGACCCGGAGGTGGCACGTGGCTGATAGCCACAGCCATACTCGATGTGGTGTGCTGGGTCGATAAATATTTTCTGGGTTGCTGATCCAGACAGACTCGGCTGAAATTAAGCCCTGGCTGGGAGACATATGAGCATCACGATGGCTCTGGAGATGCGTGTGTGTGTGTGTGTTTTTTTACAGGGGGCAGAGGTTGTGCTGTGATTCCTACCGCCGGTGGTTATGAACTCCAGTGCTCACAACCAGTCACGTGGTGTGATTGGCACAGGCCCAAGGCAGAGCACAACAATCCTCGGCGACAACCGCGGCTTAACCCGCCCGAATTCCATCAACGACCGCGGAGGAGCGGCGGGACACACGGCGCGTGCCGTGACGGTCTCGCCTCACCTGAGCCCTGGCCGAACTTGGCGCTGTGGGCCCACGTGTTGGCCCCGGTGAAGCCCAGCTCGCGGCACACCACGTTGGCCGACTGCAGGTTGAAGTCGTCGTCGCACACCGTGCCCCACTCGCCGTTGAAGTAGACCTCGACGCGCCCCTCGAAGAAGCGCCGGGTCGGTCCGGCGAGCCGGACCTTCACGGCGGGCTCGGCCGCGTCAACCCCCGGCGTGCTCCCGTCGCCCTCGCTGTTGTCCGCCTCTCCCTGGCCCCAGCAACCGGTGACTCCAAGCAGCAGCAGCAGCAGCAACAGCACCAGCGGCGGCGACGGCGGCAACGGCGTCGCGACTTTGGGCGCGCACGCTCGGGACGCGTGGAGTTTCATCGCCGGAGGAGACGGCGCACCGCGAGCTGAGAGGGGCGTGCGAGGCAGGGCGAGTGAGACGGCGCTCGCGCGGCGGTCCCTGCACGCGGAGAGCCACGCGCGCGCAAGTTAGGCACGCGCCGTATTTGACCCTGAAGGAGGAATCGAGCGGGCCTTGGGCAGGACGCATCGCCAGACGGGATGATTGTATGACGACCGAGGCTAACGATGAACAGAAGGGGCAGACGGAGGAGAGGATGTTCGCCGAGGGAGATGGGGCGACGACAGCGGCTTGTGTGCACGTGCTACGTGGATTGTCACAGGGCGCAATCGTGAGAGGCGGCGGTGGCTCGTGGAGGCCTTCATCCAGCAGTGGACATACCTGTCAACCCACGCGGTTTACCCCGTATTCTTATACAGGGAAATTTAGTTTTTAGGTCCATACGGCGTACAGCCGTTTCAATACGGGCAAAAATATAATTGTTTAGAGACATATTTTTTGTTTATTTGTATGTGTTTCTCCCTTGTGATGGGACCTTGTAGGATGAACGTTTGGATTTATAAGGGCACAGGGTGACCAATAAGGTCTGAATTGGTCTGTAATAAGGTAGGCACTCATAAGGGGTTGACAGCTATGAGTAGATGTCATGGCTGATGACCATGGTTCTGTTTACGATGGTTCTATTCGCTCACGAGGGTCACGCGTGGAAGCTTTGGACAATTCCTCCATAGATAGTCACCCGCTACTTCAGCGCGGAGTTTGGGAAATGCTTACAAGGGGGCAGATGCTGTGCTGTGATTCTCATCGGCCGGTGGTTATCAACTGCAGTGCTCGCAACCAGTAGCGTGGTGTGTTTGGCACAGGTCCAGATGCAACGTAATTCAATGCAGCCGCCTTTCAGATACCTCGTCCCCCACTCGTATTCCTTGTGGCCCACGGGTCTCGATGCTGCAGCACGGCCTGGCATGCTCAGTGGCGACCACACCACCAATCGTAGCTCATCTATAGTCCGGCTTTCAACCACGCCAAATTTCCCCCGTTCACACGCTGGCCAGGTACAACGATATGCGTTATGTAACAACGCCACGCTTCGTGAATGCGACTGTTGTGTGTTTTTTTTCGGACGTGGAATAATGAACGGCAAGAACACTGCCGTGAGAGAGAGAGCTGGAGTTGAGGACCACTGTCGTCCTACTTTTGCACAGTTCTCATCGACACTCGATGCGTGTGGCTGTGTGGAGGACCTCATGCAAAACACACACCGCGTGTGTCTTCTGGGCAGTGGGATAACCAATGGCATGACGCTGACAAGTTGCGCTGAAGGATTTGCTTGTGAGATTTGACTGAATTAAAAAACCCATCCGATCACAGGTCTAACCACGTGGTGGTGCGTTGACAAAGGGCCTGTACATTTATTCTTATTAAAATTGTAAATAAATGAAAGAAACAAATTCCCAGACGTTCTTAATCCACCAATGAGTGAAAGGCCTGCCAACGCCATGTGGGTGTTGTTTGACCATACTTCACCTTGGCAGATCGGTGCGTGCGGGTTGTCAACGGTGGTCGGGAAAGAGGCTCGTGACAAGCGATTCTGAATTATTACGAATACGTGAGTTCAGGCAAATTGCCAGTGGTCCACTGCAAACTGAGCATATTGCGGCCTCTTGTACACAGCATGAGTGAATTTACATTCGGCGCAATTAATGTATTTTGAAGGCACTTACACCTGGCACGTGGAAAAAGCATGGACTGCCATCCATATGGCAGTGGCGGCAGTTAAACGGGAAAGAAAACTGGCAAGGATGTGTGTCTGTGGCCCGAGCACTATATCCCTACACACGTGGCACACACGCGTCCCACAAGCTCTTCACGAGCGAGCTGGTCTAACGTTAGCAAGTTTACACGGTGCACCGATGGTGCTATTTGGCACAACGTAAAGTGAGTAGTCTGCCAGGTTTGAACGTCTATAAATACAACAAATTAATGAGGCTTTTAATAATGGGGACCTTTGAAATAATGGTCCAGGTTGTTCAAAGTTAAACATTCCCGCAAAAGACATTCCAGCGGTTCGTGCATAAATTAGTGTGGAATGCCCTGAACAGTGCTGGACAATAGTGAATGCAAACGTTTATAACGGCGCTGCTGTTTGTGACGAGAATTTCGCGACCCGTTCGTGACAAGGATTTTTTTTTAACCGCACCTCCGCGTTGAAGTTGGTTGAACACAGTCGCAAAATTGAAACGGCACCGCTGCTATTTTTCATTAAAGGCTGGCGTACGAGTGTGCGCGTCATGCTAAAAGCCGCTGAAAACTGGCTACGTAATTGTGTGGTTATATTTTTGGCACGGACCCACACCAAAGGTTTAGTGACCACCACGTTTGAATACGATAGATTTTGTACATTCTCAGCGGGCGAACCTCGTGTCAATGTCCAGTGGTGAGTGATATAGATGTATCCGCCAAGGAGCCTGGAATTATCCCAGTAACTCTGGGATAAAGGGTCGAATATTTACACCGCCATTCACCATGGCAATATATTCAGGAGAGAAATTCCAATGCCGAGGTCTGCTAGGCGCGAGAGGGCTTCATGAGAGATTTCGTGTCGTTTTGCTATTCCTCCTCCATTGAATGAGCGCAGGCTGCAGTGGTTTACGATATGGCCCAGAGTTTGGGCTGCATAGCCACAACTCACCCGCATATTCACGCAAGGCTGTGGCGTGAATGCAGATCACTCATCGCAATCCCCGTGTATTCTAGACATTAGTTTAATCCGTAAATGGGTTTTGCACCTAACGTGCACCAGCATGCATCGACGCAACGTAAAACCGGGACCGGGTTAGCCAGCCCCGCTGGAACGGAGCCAGCTTTGGCATGCAGTTTTATTCAACTTGGATTTTCACAATGAGAAACGTGGAATTTCGTGCATTAGGTTTAGCCACTTTTCGAAGTTCAGAAAATGTTACTGTACACACACACAATCATAGCCAAATTATTTACATCCAGATGTAGGCTCTTGGTTTCATTACAACCCACTACTCACACCCTCTCACCCAGTTCGTCTTTTGATATTCTCCAACCATTTATTATCATACCAACAACTCACTTGTATTTAATGCAGAGTATTGATATGCTCTCCGTTGTGAGATAGGTACGGAAAGCCAGAAAGTGATACATAGTTGTATAAATAAATTGATAACTCAGTTGGGAATTGGTGTTATATTGTGCATTCATTATTGACACAGCAAATAATTGTGTACTTCTGTGAACAAGGGCTCGATTTCAACCGCGATCCATCATGGCCAGTGACCCCGAAATAATTCCGCAGCCGGCACACCACATGCAGTATATTTCTCGCCATGACTTTGACTACAAGTCACGGGCCTACTCCAGACCATGAGCCACCCGGAAAATAATATGAACTGTAGTTAGAAATTAAGCACGACTGGTCGTGAAAGATGAGTTTGCGGGGTCCTGAATATACACCCTGCAACGTCAAACTTTGGTGATTCCGTTTAGAAGTTACTAAAACTAAACTGAAATATGTCTATTTTACCAGGTAAGACCCACTGAGCTATACAGCTCTTTTTCAGAAGCGACCTGGCCACAAATTATAGCTTATTATTTAGAAATGATATAGCAGCCAAATACTCTTAAAAGCACGTTGATTCTAAATGTGGAGGGAAATACCGAAGGACCCGGAGAAAAATCCACGCGACTACGGGGACAGAGACACGCAAACTCCAAATACACAGCAGGCGTCAGGGTCGGGATTAAACCCACGACCTCCTGTACACCGGGCGAGGTAGTTAACATTTCGCCACCGGTGGCGCCATGAGTATAGTGTCAGCTGCCGTGCGAAGTAGCGCGCTAGCGAGCGGGATGAGCAGCGGGCGAGCCAGACGCGATGCGGATAACGCCCTGAGCCCTCCGTGTACTCGAGAGAAATAAAGGAGACGTTAACTGTATGTGCACAGTGCTCCAGCACTATGCACCAGCGTTCAAAAAGTCAACCCATGGACCCATACTCAGGTGGGGTTTTTTTTTACACCTCGCTCGCCTCCATTATCCATCCCGAGCCAATTTTGGAAACTCAACATTCCTATGGCAGGGATCAATACATCCCGAGGACAACACGACGTGCTTCATACGGGTTCGAAAGTAGTTGTTCTTTGACGGCAGGGCGTGTTGAACTCGCGTCGTTCGTTGTTAAATGATTGGCATGCCTCTTGTGCATTTCATTTACAACTTTTCAATCTGGGTTTAAGCCACCGTCTGTCTGCATCTTAATTTGTCGTTGTCATGACTCAGCTTGCATTCGTAGTTGTACAACAACAACAACCTGGTCTGCCAGTCTGAGCATAGAGGGGACCACTTTAAAACTTCAAAGACTGCAAATTAAAATTTCTACGGGGTCACCATCATCACCTTCATCATGCATGATGGAACGATCTATCTCGTACCTGCGCACGAGCTTAGTGCTCTTAGCTTTTGAACCTACTGCATAAACATGAATACTAATAATAAAAAAGCACAAAGCTGGTCGTATTGTCGCGGAACAAAACTTATCTTGCCAATTAATTAATGCCAGAGAGTCCGGCATTGGTGTGCTATCTCAAGAGATTAGATAAATCTGTGATATCCGTTTCTGTGATAACCCGTTCACGAACGCAATGGGTTGTTGCAACAGGATGTTGTAAGAAATCAGACAATGTAAAGATGTAACCCACATTCTGAAGGCCTATATACTGAAAGTTATCTGACATATCTGCGTGTAAGACGAAACGGCGAATTCATGGCAAGTTGCTCGCTCTCCATACGTTCAGACCGACGGGCAAGATAACACGTCAAAGGCGCAGCCCTGCAATGTCCCGCTTACGCCACCGCTGGCGGAAAGGCCTCACGAGGTCTTCTCTTCTACACCGGCCAAACGCGTTGGAAGCGGTGCAGCACCCACACTTGACCCCACCACTCTCAGCCTGCACACCGGTGCGGCACCCACACTTGACCCCACCACTCTCAGCCTGGACACCGGTGCGGCACCCACACTTGACCCCGCCACTCGCAGCCTGCACACCGGTGCGGCACCCACACTTGACCCCACCACTCGCAGCCTGCACACCGACCGCGGGGACCCCCATCCGTGCCGCCGGGCTGGACAGAGGCGGCTAGGAGCGGGGCGGTGAATGTAAGAAACACGTGGCCATTGTCCGAACTTTCAGCGTCGTAAAATTGATTGATCTCTGGTGATTGCAAGTCCAATGTTCTATCGATGACAGCGCAGCAGCTGCCTCGGGTAGGAAACACGGGGTGAATGAGGATTTGTGCTTTGGGACATTCCGTTATGTTGGTGGAGGATCCCTTTTATGAGTGTGAGTGGACGCAAATGGCAGCTGTACAAGCCTGTTTCCAATTCCATCCTTGAAGGGTTCTGCTATATATATACGTCTTAGGGTACAACGTATGCACGCACGGCACGCTATATATATACTGCACGACAGCTCGAAGAGGACAAAGACGCCGCGTCGCTCAGCCTTACAGACCGGCACGGCAATGCCTTGAGAGCCAGACACTTGCGCAAGTGCTGCATAGGTGACAAGCAAAAAACCTCGTGTACACACATACATATAGAAGACACACATAGGTTTGTAATTGTATACGCGATACTCCTCCAGTGTACACACTTGTGCATTGTCAGGTCAAAGTGTCCCTTAACTCAGCCGATCGCACGTTGCTGTTGCTCGCCTTAAGCTTGTCGGCCAGTGCAAGAAATTCCCCGTTGCTATGGCGAGTACAGTATTGCCGAGCTGTTTTTGATTAACACAATTTCCACCTTTTCATCAAACATTTCCTCCACCGACTGATGCAGAACTAAGATAATGAAAATTGAAACGGCAAGTCTCGCCTGTCTCCGGATGTGAACTCATGGACCTGTGGCCATGAGCCACCACGTCTAGCATTGCCTGGGCAATCCGAGCCTTGACAATGAATGACAGCTCATACTCGCTTGGTGCGCAGCAGGGCAAATGGGATCGTTGGGGCGAGGCGAGGCGTGATTGTAAGGCACGTGGGCATTTAAGCAAAGGTTCATCCGTGTAACAAATCAAATACGCATAAACTCAAGCGCCCCTATCTGTAAATGAAAAACATCTCATCCTTACAAAATACACTTCACGATTCTACTTATAGATATATGTAGGTACGTGTGTGTGTGTAATAAACAAGGCATGAGATCTCACCGGCAGTGATGCGAATTGCAGGAGCTGAGCTTGCTGCTGCTGCTGCTGCACATGAACTGTCGCAGCTCTGAGTGTGAGGTGAGGGGGACACCGGGCATAGGAGCCACGGGGCCCACAACAGAACGTTGACGTCAGTGAGAAGGGGGAGCTGCTGGCTGACGTGTCTGGCTGGCTGGGTTAATGCGTGGGTGGGAGGGGTGAGGGGGGTTGTGGTTGGGTGCACGTGTGGATGGTTGGGTGTGTGACTGACTGGATTGCTGGGTGGGTGGATGTGTGGGTGTGTGTTTGCCTGGATGTGTGGTTGGTTGGTTGGATGGTGGACTTGATTGCTGGATGGGTGGATGTGTGGTTGGGTAGGTGGGTGTGTGGTTGGCTGGATGTGTGGTTGGTTGGGTGGGTGGCGGGATTGATTGCTGGATGGGTGGGTGTGTGGTTGGCTGGATGTGTGGTTGGATGGATGGGTGTGTGGCGGGATTGATTGCTGGATGGGTGGGTGTGTGGTTGGCTGGATGTGTGGTTGGATGGATGGGTGTGTGGCTAGATTGTTTGCTGGATGGGTGGGTGTGTGGTTGGCTGGATGTGTGGTTGGATGGATGGGTGTGTGGCTAGATTGATTGCTAGATGGGTGGGTGTGTGGTTGGATGTGTGGGTGTGTGGTTGGGTAGGTGGGTGTGTGGTTGGCTGGATGTGTGGTTGGATGGATGGGTGTGTGGCTAGATTGATTGCTAGATGGGTGGGTGTGTGGTTGGCTGGATGTGTGGTTGGTTGGGTGTGTGGCTAGATTGATTGCTGGATGGGTGGGTGTGTGGTTGGCTGGATGTGTGGTTGGATGGATGGGTGTGGGGCTAGATTGATTGCTGGATGGGTGGGTGTGTGGTTGGCTGGATGTGTGGTTGGTTGGGTGTGTGGCTAGATTGATTGCTGGATGGGTGGGTGTGTGGTTGGTTGGATGTGTGGTTGGTTGGGTGTGTGGCTAGATTGATTGCTGGATGGGTGGGTGTGTGGTTGGCTCGGGGAGTGTGTTTGAGTTTTGGGGGTGGAAGCGGACGCAGGAATAAAGGTGCCAGTTCTCATTCTCAACCTTTCCACTTTAGACACGTGTTGGCTGCTCCCTGTATGCCCAGACCCTACCCCGATCACAGATAGGAGTAAGAAAGAGCAGGGTGGGAACTGGGGGGAAGGGGTGGATGAGCGGCACGGCTTAGGGAGGCATGGAGGAGGAGGAGGTTGGGGGAAGGGCAGAGTTAAACTTTTTTTGCGGTTCTGAGATTTTGCTATGATGGCAAAATCAGACGCATGGAAAATAAGAAAAAGAGCTTTTGGATCGTTGCCAAGGCACTGTTTTGAGACACAAAGTGTTCCTGCAGAGAATGACCAACTTAACTGTGTACAGCCAAGATTCATATCCCGCCACTGCCAGCGACACCAATAAGTGTTTTTTTGTACGTTCTGTGATGTTTCCATTTTTTTATGTATTTAAAGTTTCATAACAAAATTGCTACACCACATCGATAAATAACGTCAGCACAACTTCAAGTTTATTTTGTTGAACCAGGTGGGCACTCTCAGGAGACAAGGACGGAGTCTCATTCGCGAGTGACCTCGGTCATCAACATTACAGAAAACCAATAAACATCAGCACGAAAAGAACTCCAACGTGAGGAATTGAAAATGTTAATTCATCATCACCGCCTCCAACTTTAGCGCGGTTGGCTACGTGCGGTGCGAAAGAAGTTCGACGTACATACATCATCCACGATCTCTCTACTGCTGGATGAAAGCCTCCCGAAAGCCGCCATCATCTCACAGTCTCGCAGCGCACGTCCTCTCGGGAGCGTCCCCGCATGTCGCTGTCACGCCGTTGTTAGTCTCGACCACTGCCATCTAGTGACGTTGCCTACCCAAAGCCCCCCTTGAAGGTATATACGACGTCTCTGAATATATTTTTTTTGTTGTTGTACGTTATCTGATCCCACGCGTTCTGTCTCTCTCAGCATCGTTGCAGGAGCGGGAGGCTGACGTCCACTCAAAGAACATGTTTTTTTAAATAGTAAATGTATCTGGTGTTTTGACTGTGGGAGGTCGCGTGAAATAGCATTCGCTAAATAAAACGAGTTATACTCGGTGTTTGCACACTGTTCAGCTTTTGACAAGGACCAGAGTGCTCGAGCCGCTGAGCTATCCCAAGCTGCTACGCCGACACACAGCGTAGTCTCACTGCCAAGCCATCAAGGGCAATTGTCAACAAATAAGACCAAGGACTTCATTATTGAACGTAATACCACTTGGGAAGTGTTCATCTCTGTGGGCTATGAACATGTATTGCATTTACACATTCCTACGACGGGGACTCGTCTATTCAGACGGACTAACTGTTGTTCATCGCCAATCCTGGTTCGCATTCACCAGGATTGTACTCATTCCATTTAACGAGGCCGACCCTGCCCGGGATTTGAACCCACGCGCTCACTATACTATAAGCCAAGCCAAGATGCGCTAGCCAGTGAGCCATTCTGGCCGTTGGCATACATCCGTAGTGAGCTGCATTCCTATTACATAAGGCTGTTTTGCATATAGAGGTCGGAGTGAGGGAAGGACCCTGTGGAAACTCATTTGGCACGACGCCTCGAACGCTTTCCCAGGAACAAAACGGAACGATATTTGCTTGCATTGGACACATCTGTTAGAAACCACCCGTGGCTCCGCGAGTGATCGTTCCGTCCTTCAGAAAACTCCAGGAAAGTTCCGGGCACACGAATGTGCTTTGCCGGTGAAGGCTGTCGCGGTGAGCCCAGGAATTCGACGTGCGGGAGGAGAATTGGACTCCTCTGACTCACGGAGAACGCATTGGAAATCTTGAGTTTGGGGAGCACTACTGGGAGGCAGGCATGTCGGGCTGATTATACGATGAGAGCATGCCGGGGGAGAGGAGAATAAGGAGAAGCAGTCCTAGTGTGGTACATGAGTCAAATGCATAGGAAATATATAATACGCTGTACTTAGTATTATTATACATCAGAACCAGGGCCGAATTAATATTGTGTAGGCCCTTGGGCTACAGGTACTGTGAGGCCCCTAGTAAGTAATATTTGCCAAAGGAAAACAAAGTTAAAGAAACATAAAATGTATTTTTTACAAGGCTAACAACATAAAATTCAGAATTCACAAATGAAATAACACTTCACTTAATCTCTGGAGGCCCTCCAGACTGGCGGAGGCCCTTGGGCTGCAGCCCCTAAAGCCCCCCGTGCCTTAATCCGGCCCTGATCACAACAAGGACTGGCAACCTGCGGCGCCGGAGCTCTTGAATGACTGCTTCGTGACGTCGTCGATCAAGGACCACCACCACCACCGTCACGTGTTCACAAGCATTGCGACCAGTGCCGGATTATCCTCGGAGCAAAAGTCGCTACAAATGCTACGGGCCCCGCATTTTCAAGGGCCCCCGCGCTAAATGCTTTCGAGCTATCAATTCCGCTTCAGTGATTCTGTACTTGCTCTATTACTATAGTACTATACCGCCTTCAACTTTTATGAACGACTGGGTGTTCAAGGTTAGCGATTTGTCGTATTATCTGGCTGTATAGCAAATGAACAAATACAATGACTTTACTATGCAAGTTCACAATTCGTGTTTTTTTAGGGCTCCTTTATAACATATATTACAAGCCCCGCACTAGCTTCATCCCGCACTGAAATCTTGGCTCCTCGTATTAGTTTGCTTGCCGGCCCCTGCACTCCACAATATTAAACTGTCTTCTTTGGTTCTTTCGGTAAGGTCACGTAGAATTAGAATAAAATAAAAAAAATAACACAATAAAATTCTCACGACGTTTCGGCCACAACGCAAGCGCCGTCCCGACAGGTCTGTACCTTTCACCTGAAGACGGACGCTTGCGTTGTGGCCGAAACGTCGTGAGAATTTTATTGTGTTATTTTATTATTTTATTCTCATTCTACGTGACCTTACCGAAAGAACCAAAGAAGATGAATCCTTGCAGTCACGAAAGCTTTAAATCGAAATATTAAACTGGCCTGCTTGTTATGAGCAACCAGGAAGAATCCGCCCGATCTCGTCAGATCTCATAAGCCTGGATAGTGCTTGGATGGATGACCGCCACCACCGCCACCATCACCATCACCGTGGTCGTTGAGCCGCGCCGCTGACGAGGTGGGTTTAGAGGGAGGCAGCGAGGCAACATTCATTGTTGTCCTCCACTTCTACGCCCCCCCCCCCGCCTTCAATAACCCGCACGGACCAGCGTGGCCAAAAGAACCCTCACAGCATGTGTGGAGAGGCACTCATCCAGCAGTGGATTGACACAAGGGGATGCACAGCGGCATCATTATCCAGTGACGGCTTCTGTTCCGTGTGGGGCGTTGGGGCGGCGCCACACCTCAACATTTGCCGAATTGATTTTTTTCTTTAACCTGATTATTAAAAAAAAATTAACGAAAAAAGTGAACACGCCATTCATTACTTTTTTTTGGGGGGGGGGGAGGGAATAAAAAAGTGGCGAATTTGAGTGGCGTTTTATTTATTGGCAATTTGTGCCGCGCCCAACCCACGGGAGGGAAGGGGGGGGGGTCCCATCTCCATTCCCTGCCACCCGCCCCGAGGTTGCAAGCACGGAACGTCGCCGTACCTGGGATTCGACGTTCAATTTCGGCCCACACGACGGCGTCAGCTGCGTTACAAGAAAACAGCGCGCCACGACGCGCGGGGCAAGCAGCCACACAGAAAGCCCTCTCGTCGCGGACTCCGCTGTCGTCTGCGCTCCTTCAACGGAGGAGGAGGAGCCAAAAACTCCACCAACTCTCTCTCTCTCACACACTCTCTCTCTCTCTCTCACACTCTCTCTCCCATTCTCTCTCCTGAAGCGCCCTCTCGCCGCGGCGAGCTAGAAGACCTCGCGACATTGGAATTCAGCTCCTGGACAGAGATTGCCCGATTACGCGAGGATAGAATAAGCAGCGGAGGAGACGCGATGGGAGAGTCACAAGCACGCGGGAAACCCTTCAACCCGCACGGCGCTCATCAGTTACTCCTTGGTACTACGTTCCAGCAGCAGCAACAACAACAACAACCGCCACCAAGTGGCGTTGACGTCACCACGGCGCTTGTGCCAGGCTAGGTGCACAAACAGACTACACACGCCCGGGCGCGGCGCTTTTAGTGTTCGACATTTAGGGCATCATAATCAGCCACGATTAATCCACTGCTGGATGAAGGCCTTCCGAAGCAGCCGCCACCCTCTCACGAACCTGCGATGTAATAACTCGCCCAGCACCTGCTCACGAACTGATTTCGTTGCTCCATCTCCACTTTTGACGTAGACCCTCGGACGCATTCCATTCCTTGGCTGCCACTGTGTTATTATTTCTAACCGTCAGCTATCGTCTTGCCATGACAGTCCTATCCAGAGCCACTTTCATTACGTTTCAACCATATTATTAACCTGTCTCTTTGTCACGTGTGCCTCTTTCTGTATCAGTGTCATTGCAAAGGGGTGCATCTTCCCATGATTAATTGCGCAACTTTAAATATTTGTGTTTCCATATTCTTCGTTAACTACCATGCTACTGAATCACGTGGCATAGCAGCACTGATGTCGGGGAAAAAAGACTTGCAGGACACATTGGGTTGTTTACTTTTCACGATCAATTGCGTATCAGTCAAAGCACTTCCACCTGCTCTCGTCTGCCTCTTCACTTCAATACTTTGATCCGTTCAGTAGCTGAGCAAAGTTCGTACACAACACAAGATAATAGTAATTGTATCAGCCACTGCCCCTGGTGGGTTTCGCACTCCTCTTTCAGTGTGCGTCGGTTGCGATGGTTGGAGCGGGACAATTGCTCCTGGCACAGCATTGCTGCTCCCACCAGCCAGAAGAGTGGTTGTTGTTATTACGCCCATTGGAGGGATTGTGGGGTTAGGAGGCTCCAGGCCACGAGGCTGGGATGCGTTCGAGCTCGCGGATGGTTCTCGCAGCTGATGTTTGAGACGTGGAAATGAATCCTCGTCGGCGCAATCGACAGCCGAGGAAAACAACAAAAGCGACCCTTGCTGGCGGGGTTGGACATCTCGCTCAGCTGCGTTTTCGTTCTCTCCGCTGTAAGCAAACATTGACGTAATGTGGAAAATGGCCACGATCGTAGAAGTAAATAAGTCACTCTGACACAAAGTCCATGTGTTTTTTGTGTACTTACATAACAGCTCAACAGCTATTAGCATTTTCCACGTGTTAACATTTTATCTAACAGAATTTGGCAACTTGAATCAGAATGTGTTTTTGTTATATATATAAAAAATGTTCGCCACACCAGGCATATAAACGCCACTGAATGTGATCATTTCAAATACTTTTTTTGAATCACGACTATTGATAAAGTTTCGTGAGGGCACGCTTATTTAAAACATTTACGGCGTATACCAATAAATCCCCTTGATAAAAGTTTTAAACATTTACCATATGTCAATCGTCTGTGTTTACATTTCGTAAACAGATTTGCAAATATTCTTGGTTCTCTCGGTAAAGTCATGTAGAAGGGAAACAATAAAATAATAAAAATATATAGCACAGCAAGACAATTTCAAATTAGAAATTTTCTTGCTGTGGTTTTCACACCTGATGATGATTGCTTGTATTGCAGTCGAAACGTGGTAATTTAATTATTTTATATATTTTTCTATTTTATATATATTTTTCATTGTATTGTTTCCCTTCTACGTGACTTTACCGAAAGAACCAAGAATATGAATCCCTGCAGTCACGAAAGCCTTAAAGCAAGATTTGCAAATGTTGTATATCTTTGACGACATCCACAGTTTATTCCATCTAGTCCAGCAGCTTTCCCATTCTTCATACCGCAAAGGATGTCGTGAAAAGCCGCATACCAATCTGCCTCTGTAATAAAGTTTTCAATCAGTGCATATTACCTGCTATGGTAGTATGTTTTGGCAACCTGGATACTGGCAAATACGTTTGAACAAAAGTTGAAAAATATGTGTAAATTAACATGGGGAGGTGCATGTTTGGAATGACGATGAGAGACAGGAAAGTGAGAGAATGTACAAAAGTTAGAGAGACATCTTGACTGTTCAGAAAAGTCAGTGTTTGGCAAGGACACGTCGCTAAAAGGGACGATGCCCTCTGACCGAGACTTATTGCTGGAGTGGCAGTCAAAGGCTGGGAATCAGAATGGTTGGTTCATGTGCAGGATCGAGACGCATTGTCGCATCACGTGACTGTGAGGAATGGCAATAACTTGGAGAGGCCTTCAAGCAGCAGTGGATAGATGATGACATGATGATGATGAGTGAACCGTGTGTTTAAATAGCGGAAGTGAAATCCCTGTTTCGTCTTCTTGTCGTCTCGACAGCATTATTTGATAACTTTAGCATTCACCATTACGTCCGCATGGATTTCCCTTGGCGATCAATAACATCTGCCTCGCAAAAATACATTTGTCTGAAGTGTTGTCTCACCTGGATGTGTTTGGAAAAGTACGTAATGTTGATGGTGACAGTGTGTGTTAATTAAATGTCTACATTAAAAAGCACAACCCTAACCTCTCCGTCCTTTTGAGAAGTTGTCAAAGACGCAGTGTCTGCTGGGTGCAGCGCGGTGTGTGTTTGTGCGCGTATGCAGCCATCTATCAAGAATAGCCATCGACTATTCAGAAGCTTCTGGGGACCACAATTCGTCCTTTAATGATACAGGTCTGAGAGCTAATACATTGATTGATTCGTGTAAAATATAATGGTAATCCTTCAAGACCTACTACCCAGTGAGGTCGCAGTGTTTAAGCAGCCTTTCGTGGCACCACGATCTGAAGATTAGTGCGGGGCCAACCACTAATCCCAACCGCGCCAGAGGCATTAACATTATCAAGAGGTGTGTTGTCTTCAAAAAGGAAGGAAAAAAATACCCACTGCAGGTCCCATTGGTTCCCATGCCAACGTATGCGTTGTTTCCACAACCTCAGCTCGGAACTGGGCTGCACTGATCCAGCAGCGTGACTGAGCTTCCGATCGATTTGCCCGATAAGCGGCGGTGTCCCGGGACATGTGTGAACGCAGGTGTAGATGTGGCATCAGATACACGATAAAAAAAAGGTGCACTACTACTCTACAGAGGCAGGAACATGCCAGCCTCAGACTTAGCTTATCCCTCCCGATCCAAGCTCGTCCCTGCTTTGTCTCACAATGGTTTATCCCACCACGTGGCTGAATCCAGCGAGGGGGGTAATCGTCTCTAACCCACCCACCCACGCCCCATTTACAAGCACAAACATTAGTCCAGTGTTTTATTTACGGTTAAAAATACATTTGATGTTCTTTTTTTAATGTAATACACCCCAATTAATAATCTTTAAATTTTAAGAGGGCCTCCCCTCTCCACGGTGGACATCCTCTCAGGCATGTTCTATACTTTGGCTGTCACTGTCTTTAGTCTCAATCACCAACCATCATCCCTTATAGCCAAAGCCCACTTGCTGTTTTAACAATCAATATGGTGCCTCTGATTGTGTTTTTCTATTACCGGATCAATGTGCCCCGCTTTCTGTCTCCCGGCGTAATTCCGAGCATGCATCAAATCTGTGCGTTTTTTGCACATTTTTCAAGTTGTTCCATTATCCTCGCCAGTGTTCGCGTTCCTTAATCGTATGTCGTACCTGGCAGTGTGCACCGATTGAATATTTCAATCTTCAAGACACATTAGGATGCTCCCTATTCATCATCAAGGGTCAACCTTTCGCAATTAAGTTGAATTACTTATTGGCATGCTGCCCTCGACAACCGAGCGAGCCCTCCACAAAAGTGATGTTATGTTTCTGTCTTGAGGCCCCCTCCCCCCGCTCTGTTCCAGCTCGGCACACCGGTGGATAAACCCTGGCGAGCGGTCACACGGAGGTGACCTCAATTTCAGCAAATTCTCAACGCTCGCCTGCGGCCATCTGCTGACAATGGGCTACTCTTGTGGCGAGTAGAGGGTAGCCCAACTTGTCTTTGGTTTTGCCAGGATCGCCCTCTTTTTGAGGTAGCCATTGTCCTGGGAAATCGGTCAAGTCTTCCTGCAGACAGAATAAAAGTCATGGTGGTTTTTTTTGTCAGTTGCGGAATAACACACCGTTGAAGACGATGCATTTAAATGTAGTATTCCCCTCTTCTGGCATCGTGAGATTTTTTTCCCATCTCTTGATGTCAAATTGTTTTTGTACCTAAAGACGTGAAAACCTTACTTGTGAGGTACATTCGTCGTGGGATCTTTTAAACGTACACAGATTCGTACATGTTACAAATCATCGCCACAACCATGTATAGCCTAAGACTATGATGCCCTTGTAGTTTAAACGTGGAACTTGCAGATTAAATTCGGATCACGTCAAAGGTGTTTTTGTATTCAGCAATTCCAAAAGCACAATTTACCCTGAACCTTCTCACCTTGACGCATGTGCACGATATGCAATCGGTGTACATAGGAAGACGTGGCTTTGGCCGTTCTACTGAGGGCCGGTGATAAATCAACAAATGTGCCCTGAGGTAGCACTGCTAATTCTGCAACGGAACCTCCGGAGCTTAAAGTGCAGTTAGTTCATTGACCTGAGCATTCCCGGTTTTCTAACCTGTTACCATTCCTCTCATGCCTGCATTAGACTAAGAATAGCCATTCTCAGATATATTGTAATGGTGTTGCGCAATATGATTGCTTTAATAATTGTGACTCCACCTTTTAAAAGAATTTGTATAGAATAGGTGCAAGAATAGTAACCGACTCCACCATTGTCCAGCTGCCAACACGTTACCAAGCTCGTTTTGCAGAGATGAATGTGCACTTTTGGGGTTGACATTAGGTCGAACAGATTTTGGGAACTGCATGAAATATAAAACTGGGCACGAAGTGAATTCACGTGTACAAAGTTTTAGAATCCCTGAAAAATGCGTACTGTTATTATTCGAATTGTATTTTTTTAAAGATGCACGTACGATAATCGAGGCCTTCTTACGTTACTAAAGCGAAGAGACAACCGCGAAAGGGAAAACATCGGATGTTGTTTATTTCAAGTGGATGGAGAAACAAAGCACTTGTCAGACATAAATCACGGTAGATGGCGTATTCTCAACAAAACTGTACCATAGCACACAACATGAAACGGATCTTTGCAACAGACCATACATAATAGAACTATATCTGCAACATGCAGGAGCTTTAGTGATTTAAATACTTTGAAGAAAAAAATGCTAAAAGTACAGTGTTTGGGGAAAACCCTACAGGACTGTCAAGTTTGCAGAGTTAGAGATCGTGATTATTTTGAGGTGACATTGGTAAATTTAATGTCTAAACTGGTGGTCTGGTTAGAGGTTGCTGGTGTACGCTTTTGGCCTGGTTTTCTATGCGAGGCGCGTTTTGCTCGGAGTTTGTGTGCATTTGCATGTCACCCTAAACCACGGGTTTGGAATAGTTTCCTTACGGAGGGGCCGACGAGGAATATAAAAAATACCTGTGATAGACAACACATGAACACACCTAGGTAAATGTTGTCAATGGAATAGGTCCTGCAGTGACACAGGTGAATGACCAAGCAAAAATGTGAAACTGTTGTTCACAGGTCGAAAATACAACCCTCTAGTACCCGATTAAGATTATTTATCCTGGAGAAATCCGATGAGATATGAAGCTCTTTATAGTTGTTTACAATGTCCAGTAGGGGCGGGTCAGAAATGTACCTATGCTTGCAGTGATTTATAAATAATATTTGCGGGCCATTATTAAGTGAAAGGGCTTAAGGGGCCATGAGCCTATTAAAATGAAGTTGTGGGTCATATCTGGCCCATGGACAGCAGATTCCTTAACCCCTGGCCTAAGGGGCTGGGCATACTGCACATGGTGTTGGTGCATTATCGTACGAGCGTGCAAAAGGGCTGAAATGCGTGTAACAAATGCAATGCATGTGGCTTGACAGTCCTGAAAAATACATTTTAATATACTAATCTCAATGTTCCAAATGTATCAAAACCTGCATTAAGATGTATTACCAAACTAAATCAAAATAGTCTTCCTTTCTATAAAACGTCGAATTCTTATACCTTGATAAAAAATAAAACATGTTTTTTAACTCAAAACTGTTTGAGAACCGCACTCGTTTCTAATCGGGGTTGTGGGACACTGCTGTGATGCACATTTCACAACGGCAAATGCAATTAGTGGTTTATGATTTAAAACATCGGCGTATTTGTAAACAAAACTAACGTTCGCAACACCTGGTTTTAATACAGCTCATAGCTTGCACTAGCCAGTACAACATACAGTATCAACAACTTGCTATTTAACAAGGACTAGATATTCGGATTGTGACGCAACATTCCTTATTAAGCACACATGTGGATACAAAAAAAATAATACATTGCGTATTACACAAAGGAAGAAAACAAATTAAGACAAAAAACATTCTGTACAGCAGCGCATATGGTAGAAACCAGTGGGACTGGCAACGGCCTTCCCAAATTTGCGACCACGTGCAGGACGTGCTGTTTCTCGCACTGACCGTCAAGCCAATGGCAAGCGGGGAATGCTTCAGGGGATGAGAGGTGGCTCACGGAATGTGGCTGCTGCCATGCCGATACAACATTATTTCTACCAGTGAGTGTGCTAAGGAATGACCCATCTCGAGTATTTTTAAGCACAAAAGGAAACACGTCAATGTTTAGTCGAACACGTATAGTATATTATAAATCTTGCTTTATATACCTTTGTTATAATTTAAAATAATCGAGGAAACACTAAGAAAAATAGTTACATAACAAATAAAGTTACAAAACTAATGCTAGGACGATTGCAACATTCCTATTATATACTTGCCCATTTCATGAATGCTACTTACAAACACAAATCCCTTGATTGTTTCAACCTTACAAATTTGGTCTCTCGTGCTACACTCACACATAAGGCACTCTGGTTTCAAGTAATTCCAATTTTTAGCACACACGCGCACATCGTCACACACAAGTGCATTGCTTGCGCTCTTAAATATCGGAATTTTTGTTACACTTTATTCCCCACAACGCGTTCCGACTCCGCACCACTCTTAACGCCGTCGGTCGTGACAAACGCATGCACCTGGCCGATCAGCGTGGAAAATGTGACTTCAAAACTGGAACTTGTGCACATGGCTTCACTTAAACCTGCCGTGCAAATGTGTCTTCCCACTCTCCTCTTACCGTATGTGAGTAAAAAAAAAGAAAATGGAGATGAATAGTTTCAAGAGTCCGGGTTGTTTTCAAAAGGTTGGGTGGCCCAATGAATCCAAATGTGCACGCATCATGACAACTTAATGCGTTAATATATTTGGGACACTGTACACTGTGGATATTTACAATACAATACCAATGGAAATTTTATATATCTTTTTTTTCCCTTAAGCTCATACGATGTCACCTTCGAGAAATACACAACTCCGCTTGCTAGAGAACACTGAAGCTCAAACCTGCTTTTAAGTTAATTCCTGCAACTGCATATGTACTGTTTATGGTTGGGCGAACACAACGGAGCAGACAAAATACGGTACACCGGACTTGTTAGCAATCGGAATAATGGCTTTCCACCGATGGCTAAAATAACGTTTGTGTACTTCTTCAAATCACAATAAAATGCAGAATGCATTTGCATTCAATAACTCATGGATACCTTCAGCATCAGATATTATCCCACACATTTATGCCAGCGCAATTGGTGAGGGATGCATACAAAATGTAACCAATGTTTGCGAGGACATCAAACCGAGCATTATGTCAAGTGGGTATGCATTTGATGCCCACTATGTTGTCATTGCTAAGGCTTAAAATCCTCTTGTAATTTTAATTGATTACTTCAGGACAAAATTTACACACTGATGTTTCTTCATTGTAACAAAAAGAACATATGCACATGATGAACTTACATTTTGGGCCACAGTAGTACCTGCGTGTGTATATGGCCTGGCACAAGCGTCGTGGTGACGTCACCACCACTTGGTGGCGAATGGCGGTTGTTGTATAATACTCCTTGATCCGTTGTGGGGAATTTGGGGGAAAGTCGTTATCAATTTCTACACGAAAACTAAATATTTTTCGTCTGTTGGCCTATTGCTTCCAGACTTAGAAGATTGTTCACCAGTATTTTGCAAGCTTGACTCTGCTGATGAAACCCAGAAGGTCCAAACAGGTCTTGCATTTGCTTATTTAAATTTTGCTGTATAATTTATGTCTGGAAAGCCAACAGACCGACAGAATAAAAAAACTAAATATTTTTTGGCGTGAATTAAAATTCAGTTTCGTTCTTCATTGGCTGTATTATTGCATCTATCGTGAGATCTGTGCTTTCGCCCTCGAAAAAATGCATGTCAAGAGTTCATGTTCTGGGAGCCTGTGCCATAATTATTTATCCTGGATTGAATTAGCATAATTAGCGCAACTCAATAGTGTTTTTGAGGATGCATTTCCCACCGTTAAACTTCAAGAAAACAAACGGGAGAAAATGGTGCTAGACACGAATATTGGAAAAACCAAAAGCGGCTGAGGATTATCAGTGGACATGATTACAAGAAATTATTTTAAATAGTTGCACGCAAACTACAGAATGAGGTGAGTGCCAGGTACTGAATAATTATTTCAAGCCAAGTAATTAAGGTCTCAGATTTTCATTGACCTGCAATCATTCTCACCGTTAACATAACATACAGTGCCGAAGAAGTCAACAACAATCTGGTGCCCCTTGCAATTGAAGCCATTTTAAAACAAGAGGACAACATTAAGATTATTACAGCTGTTTTAAAAGTGCAATGCAGGTAAAAACCGATGCAAACAAAAACACTTATCAACGATCCAACACCTGAATATCTACTGCTGGCATTTTGTTTTTGTTGACACAGCAAACACCAACCAACGACAAATGTGGAGGCTTTTTCAGTGACAATACCAGCCGCTGATCACTGACCCATCATGTCCTGTACAAATTCCCCAGTGCGAACATGAGAACATGAACTCAATGAGGTTTTAAGGCAGTTTTCCACACTGTAAAAGAAAAACCTTTCAGTCCCTCACACAAAGACAACTGTATCAAAACAACAGTAGCTTTTACTCGTGTGATATAAGAAATGCTCAAGATCTGTCGTTGAGTAAAAACAATTCTCATTTTTAAATGTATTTGTTGTTTGCGAGCTTTGCTGCAACACTTGACAATGTATATGCACAGTTCACCCGTTGCTTCAAAACACTTAATCGCTTTTGCTTTTTAAATGTTGCACTATACACTGGTTCATATGAGGGGCGTTCTGGAATAAAACTTGAAATCTCACAAAAATGTATTGTCTAGAAGGTAAGGTTCAGTTGACAGTGGATATTATTTACAGCCTCTAGTCTATCTGCTGCTGGATGAAGGCCTCCTCACACCGTGTCAGCTAGCATATTGTTTGACCATACTTCATCATGCTGATCAGTGCAGATTGGTGAAGGGGTGTATCCAAGACTGGTTCAGACATCACTTGCCATTGATGTAACTGTGGGCCCCGTGAGAATCGAACTCGGGTCGCCAGGTTCATAGGGCAGTGGGATAACCACAATAAGAAAAATGAATTAACGTTGATCATGCCGCCATCTGCGGGGAGGAGGTACAATATAAGCTATGAAAAGTGTCTTGTAAAGTGATCCAAAGAAATTAGCAGCAATTTTACATAAAACAAATATATACTTTTATTTATTTATGATAGAATTTAGAGTTAGGCCACGTAATGATCCGACTGTTAAGACCTTCCACCACTGGACAGCTCACAAGTTAGAGAACACATCTCACAAGTAAATTTCGTAATTGTATCTAATTGCGAAATATGGTTGCAAATTGCTCTTCAACCTTTACTGGTGAGCTCAACCAATACAAAAATGGTACGTTGCACAGAAGCAATCATAGATTTATCTGGCTGTGTCGGTTGTTGGTGAATGGTCCGATTATTATGTGGCCTAACCCAAAAATGTATTATGAATCGTAATATTGGCTGTGATAACCTACGTGTTAAATATACATATATATGTGTGAGGATTACATTTTTTTTCTAGGATGGCCCTCATTTTACATTGCTGTTAGAACGAGGACGTGAGAGAAAGAGACGAGACCTATTTGAAGCGCTGCCACGGTTTGAGGTCAACGGATCGGTTCTCAGGGACGTGGCGAAACCGGCAACGGTCTTCAAAGGTGCATCCGGTCGTTCTCCAGAAATAACACTCATTGCCATTGATTGGTCCACGCTTCTTGTCTCTGTCACATGGGATGCACACAAGCGCACACGTGCACACACCGTACGATAAAAAACCGTCGCTTTTATAGCCGCAATGTGAAGTTTATCTGGACGGTGTCGAGCTCTGGTTGGGCAATACACAAAACCAATGGCGAGGTATTAAGTTGGAAGATATATAAACCGAATTCTAAATAGGTGAGCATTGATTCATGATTAATGTAACAATTCATGATCAATGTCTTTATTAAATTCCCCCCAGTGATTCAATGAATTTCGATGATTTTGGGGTCACAATTTTATTTGAGAATCACGTACTTTTGGCCTTGTTTTTGTAACGATTCGGATTTCTCTAATTTGCAACAGCATTTAATTTAATCTTGATTTGAAGCTTTCGTGACTGCAGGAATCCATACTCTTTGGTTCTTTCGGCAAAGTCACGTAGGTAGAAATAGTGATTGATTAGATTTTATTTCTACCTACGTGACTTTACCGAAAGAACCAAAGAGCAAGCATGTAATTTACTCATACTAAGTATAAATCGTGACGCACTTTCGTGCATTAAATATTTGCCAAATAGTTGATCTTAATATTTGAATGTATGCATCGTTACATGCCATAAATACATACAAATATGAACCTTATGCAGTCCAGTATCGGAATGAGCAGGAAGTTTAATGACCGTCACTGGTGACAAGAATCGAAATCTACATTTTTGTTAATAAGTAGATTTAAAAAGTGCGGTGTCACTGTGGAGACGGAGGATGGATCCACAACTGTGGAGGATCCAGAAAGCGGACCCCTCCTCGTGGGACAAACGCTCGGAACAAGAAGATTTAAACACGGGGACAGGAGTTGGCGATGTGGACAACTTGCGGAGGGGCATGTTAGACCTTGTAACGACAGAGCAGGAAGGAGCAACCCCCATTGGTGTAGAGATTCATTAAAGTTTCATGGAGCGGCAGGTTTTAATCGACTTTAGTTAAACCTCATGGAAATGTTTGCTTGTTTTTCTGTGACATGCATGAACAAACAGCAGTGCATTTTAAGCAAGGAATAAACACCATGCATATGAATGGATGCTTTAAATAAATTACAACACGCGTTTGTTCTCGAAGTATTTAATTGGCTAAAAATAACCATTAAGTTTCAAGCCATACGATGAGATCACGTCACACAATGATGTCATCTGCAGAGGCGAGGCAACGACATGACACGCGATATCATTTTAGCCTAAAACATCTATTTAATTCTGGCTTTTATTTCCAGATTTTGTGCATCCTGTTTTTCTAAGTGTCCGGTTTTATATCGGGAAAGTCCCGAATCACAAGACCACTTTGTGCTCAAGATTCGTTCTAATTGGATTATCCTTCATCATGACTCCCTGATACAGATGGACAAGCAGAGTTAGTGCTTTAACAATTTCAACCTTAATTGGAGCACATACAAGTAATATAAAAGCGTGCTTTTTGACAACATGGCACACATCTCAGGCGAGTGACGTGACGATGTGGGCTCTGAGAAATACCCCGACAGTGGAATGTTAGACGTCTTGCTCTCTGCCTTCGGTGTGTTGCTGGGGTGGTGGTCCGGGTATTTGATGAGAAGCTTAGTGTTGGCCACCTCACAGCCCTGCGGAAGGAAGCGGACAAAGCAGATCATAGATAAAGACCAGCTTGAATAGGGGGAAAGGAGAACAATTGTACGAGGGTAAGTCACTGGACAAGCTTAGTTGCAACAATGCAGTTCCCTTACATTCATTGTTCGAATTGCACCTTGGAAGCAACTATAACCAGCACTCTTGGTTTTGCGTCTCCACAGGGAGGTGTGGTTATCTGGAGTTTTGAAAGTTGAAGAGCTAAAGGGCTTGGGCAGAATGGTCAGTGTGTGTGATGGCAGAGGTGAAGTACTACATTACTATTTGAAACAGTTATTTATAGACAAAGTATTACTATATTACTGTAAATAGAACACTCGCAAAGTGTAACCATTGGCAATAATTGATGGCGCTGCTCTTAGGTGCATACAAAGACCACCTTGTACAACCATATGCAGGGTTAACATCCATTCATGCTGTTATGGTGGACGAGGGGGTGGTGTAACCAGCACCATTACTGGCTGCCTTTGTCTCTGTAGTCCTAACATATATACACCACACCAAGTACCAGGTACTTAAGGCTAAACAGACCTGATTTCGATTTTCGGCCATGGCGAATATCTATGACGAGCGATATCTGAACCGGTCCTGCCCCCATATGATCAAACAACTCCCATGACCGGACACAGCAGGGTGAGGCCTTCATCCAACAGTAGATTCACCTAGGTTAGGCCAAGGACAAATTTTGCTGCCGCTTACTACTGACGCAAGCCGTGACCGACTGAACAACCGCTCCCAAATACGAAAATACATACGTGTTCATGCTTCCGTGCTTTGTTAGCACCAATAGATCAGACGTGGGGGTCACAACTACGCTTACAATCGCGTCGTTCACAAAGCGTTGCAATCGCAATGTACGTGGTTGTAATTTCAGCTCACGATGGTGATTGTAATTATAATTGATCTCAGACGTGCTCGAGATCAGTCACGGGGCGAAGGACTCGACGGGCGGTGGTGGTTATGGAGGCGTCGCGCGGTTATGGGCCGCCCCGACGGAGCGAACCTGCAGCGCGGACATGGCCTTGGCTGCCGCCTCGCCGTTCGTGTAGTTGACGAAGGCGCAGTAGCGCTCGTGCATGACACGCACGCTCCGGATTGTGCCGTACCTGCCGGGGCGAGGGGACGCACGACGTTAGATGTCGGGCAAAGGCATCGTCGTCGTGACCACCCGTTTAATATTTACACCGTGCCTGCCGCGCACCGCAATGCGGAGGGTGGTCGACAGAGGCACCCCTCCCGGCCGTGGGGCACAAGGTGAGCGCAGCACTGGCCTGCAAAGAGGAATTCATCTGCCAGGAGAGGGTGATGGTTGCTTTGCGGTTTTTTTTAACAAGGATGTGGTTTGCGAATAGTTGAGCAATTTCGTCAATTTGGATTGTGGCACCAGCACACTTGGCCTCTTTTTCCAATAACGTGACGTGAACTTTTAACGTCTGCTTTGAAGCAGGGGGTATTTATTGATACACTTGCACTGGGCTCGAACCGCGGCAATCCTATACCGCATTGGGCAGGGAGATGGCGTGGCATCCGTTTCAGCGCGCCCGTGCTTAGGAGAGCGAGAGTGAAAATGCTGCCACCACCAGAGGGTGAGACGCAAGCTGTGAGTAGCTTTACAGCCAGTGCAATACAATATCATTAACATGTGAACATGAACAGCCCCTTTGTAAAGCCACTGCTCGATGAGAGCCTCACCACACCGAGGTTGCTGGGATTATTTGACCACAATGCAATATGCTGTTCAGTGCGGGTTCGCAAAGTCAGGGGTGATGATGTGGGAACAGATGTAGAATGCACCAATGGATTTTGCTGTACTGCCCTCTGTTGCCAACCACACGTCACTGCAGCCCTATGATAACCTGTGTGTGGTGGTCACCCATTCAAGCACTATTCAAGGTCAACCCAGCTTGGCATCGGAGATCTGACAAGATCGGGTGTTTTCCAGGTGACATAATCATTGGCATGATATTACACTTCCCAACAGGTGGAACTCCAATACCTGGGATGTAGAGCACAGGTTGACAATACTTTTTAGCCGGTTAATAAGTAATCCTTTTTTTTTACAGTTACCGAGATGTAAGATATTGACGGTTCAACCGCTGGCCTCTTTACGGAACTGCTGATGTTTCGAGCAAGAGTCTTAACAATAATGGAGAGGATGGCTGAGCTTGCGTGGTGGGCAATGCCAGATTGAGTGGAGGGGAGAGGCTCGCTGAATGTCACCAAATCTGCAGCGTTTGAATTCATCTTTCCGAATTTCAGGGTGGGGGTCACTGTTGCTATTAACGGTGTGTTTCAAATGAAGTACATGCAGTGTATATTAGCAATAATACAATGTTATAGCTAAGACATTTTTTAACCTGTGACACACGCTCATTGTGTTATGGATGACACACAACTGCGGCAATTTAAATTAGCGGCGCAATAACAAGCAATATAACGTTCAAACAAATCAAATTCTATTTCGTGTTTATTAAAATAGAAACACTCATTATTGTTAGAATGTAAATTACAGTTGAACGAAAACTGTGTAATGATAATTAAATAAATATTGCCATTCTACAACTACACATCAATCATCCAGATTGCCTTCCTCTGCTGAATAAAGTGCAGCAGATGTGAATTGAAAGTAGCATAATGTAAAAACATTAAACATATTAAATGTGAGGAGTGCCTTTTAAAGAGATCCATGATGGCCTTCTCTGTGACATTGCTCGTGACGTTCCCGATCCACAGAGAGTTCGCTTCCATCCTGAAAAACAACCGCAGAGCATTCCATTTGATTTAATTTATTCCATCTGGAAAAAATCCCACTACATGAACCTGGTGCCCTGAGTTTGAGTCCTGGCCACGGATCGCATATTGTGCGATCATTTTTAACCGGTCCTGGGCATTCAACCTCCACCAATCCACACTACAAGTGCGGTGAAGTATGGTCAAATAACGTCCATTACTGACATTGCATGGGGAGGCCTTCATCCAACAGTGGATTGACAAAGGGCTGCAAATGAGAATTTTTATTTTCTCATTATAAAGACTTTAAATTTTGGTTTAAAGCTTTCGTGACTGCAGTAATTCATATTCTTAGTTTTTTCGGTAAAGTCACATTGAAGGGAAACAACAAAATAATAAAATATCTAAAACAATAAAAAAATTATCACGATGTTTCGACCATAACTCAAACGGTCGTCTTCAGGTGTGTTGGTTTGCATAAATGTATTTTTTAAACGGCGCATTTATTTATTTATAAAAAATGTTAGCGCCACGCGCAACGATTTGGCAGTTTATTTAGGACTAGTCCATCTATATTCTGAAAAGAGGAGGGGGGAGACGAAATTTTTTATAATGTATGCTGTCTGAAAGCCACTGTAAGCATGAACAATCAATTAAGACCTGAAATGGTTTATCAAATCTTTCCAATGATTGCTAAGATAGAATCCATCTTCTCAGTTGAAATTGTCTCTGTGCTTGTATATGTGGATAGCCTCATGAACGAATCTCTCATGGAAGCCAGATGGCTTACAAAGAACCAACACACCTGAAGACGACCGTTTGAGTTATGGTCGAAACGTCGTGAGAATTTTTTATTGTTTTATATATATTTTATTATTTTGTTGTTTCCCTTCAACGTGACTTTACCTAAGAAACTAAGAATATAACGACTTTGTCGGTAAATTTAAAAGCAGTGCAACCTGAAATTAATATATGAAAGAAAGTACAATGACAACCATATTTGCCGGACATCGTAATGTCATACGAGGTTATGATTCCATCAAGTTACGTGCGTGTGTGGTAACACACACGTAACTTGTTAATATGGATTTAGACACTGTCACATGTTATGGTATTGTTGTTGAATTCTGTGCAATTGGAAACATGAAAAAAATGTAATCAGTGACATAAGTGCTGAATTGCTGATACAGATCTATAATTGCGAGTACACCTGTCATAGGAATGTGGTCTTTCCATCACTGACCCAGGACTATAACCAGAAATAAGCACTGCCCACCCCACCACTGTGCACAAGATTGGGGAAGGCAGCTTGTACACGTGGGTTACATTGTGAAATTTTACCTGGATGTCTGTCCCATGTGATTATTGTGAAAAATATCCGAATCACTCCCATTTGAGATGTCCATTGTCTCCAGGTAGTCTGCACAGACAAACACAAACATCAATGCATCATTAGGCTGAAACAATACAATAGCAACAGCAGCAAAAACTCTTCTATTTTTTCTGCCAATTACAGAACCGAACTAAAAATGGAATTTTGCATCGCCGTTAAAAATCTTGGATTTACAAAAGAAATAGCACCTAACGTTCAGTGTAAAATTGTTATGATAATATAACAATACCCTTTGTTTTATCCAAGAGGCCTCATGACTAGTTTTCAGGAGGGTTACTCACCGAGACGTCTGGCAAACTCCGTGACAGAGTTTAGCATCCTTTTCTGGACTGCCACCTCTAGGCTCCTCACAAACCAATTGTATAACATTTTGGAATCCCAGGCAGTCTTAAATACACGTACTAGCCAGGATCAAGCCTACTTCGCTTCCAACATAGAATGGGATTGGGCATATTCAGGGCGATTTAAATGCATATGGGCACTTGTACTTACCCATTTACTAAAGCGTTTGAGTAGTACTGTGGTTAGAGCGTGCACCTCACGGTTGGAAGGTTGCGTGCAAACACCTGCTCATTGGGCCCAGCTCAGCCCTTCGTCACCTCCACGTTCAATGAAATTAAACACCACTTCATGGGACGTCAACAACGACTCTCCAACAGATTATGTTGCCTCCTGCCCCTGAAATGTGGAATTTTCACCACTGACTGAAGCACCATTCGTTGAGAAAGCTTTAAGTCAAGTCAATTCGACACTGAACGATTGACCAGGGAGACCCTTTTGACTGTAATTTAAATACTGCATCAGTGACAAAAAAAAAACTTTATTTGAGCGTTGCCCGTTGTGCTTTAGTGCCAACACGGGGCAACGCTCTCTGTGTAAGTCTCCAATACGGAAACTATGAGCTGCTTCTTTTCCTCGCATCATCATATGCCCATCAACCATCCTAACCTCATTAATTGGGTCTTTCGGTAAAGTCACGTAGATAGGTTCAAAGAAAATAACACAAACATTACCAAAGAAAATTCTAATTTTTGGTTGTTCTCTACGTGACTTTACCGAAAGACCCAAAGAATATGAATTCCTGTAGTCACGAAAGCTTTAAGTCAAGATTTCATCCTAACCTCATTAGAATTTAATGCCACGTCTGACTCAAAACCTGCCAACTAGGGGATGTGTGTGCTGCATGGAATGTGCACAACGCAAATTGCATACGTTGTGAAAATGCACAGCGTTTAGAGGCACCTTGTTAATTTATACTATTCAAAAATAGCAGTTGCACCTATGTATGTTAAACTTATTTTGAACCGTACGTAGCCAACCATGCTAATCAGAGGTGCGATTAAATAGTTATCAAAGCACATTGCTACCTGCTATTGTGCTTGTTGTATTTTCAGCCATTAATGCTGCTCCATGAAATAAAGATGGGACTTCAGGTTGTATCATCACGTCCGAAGCGACGTACAAATGCCACGTGTTTCATAGGTAAAGCTATTTTCAGTGACCATTTCCATAAAATACGTTAAAGGGAATTTATTACCCCCGTTCCCATATGCTGTTTTAAGTGATGTTAAGTCAAGAAAGTCAAAGCGATTTGCTTTTCAAAGGGGCATAGAGGCGGTACTCGGGGCCAGTGGTGGACATTCTGCATTCCTATGGGGAGTGGGGGGGGGTCTATCTATAGGAAAACTATTGTTGACATTCCAACAAAGTGATACTTATTATTTGAGCAACTCTGGAGGGATGATGGGCACGGTCAAACCCCAACCAGGCTATGAACTCGCAGCCCACCTTATTGTAAGCCGCTCATTCTGGCACCGATCCACCTGGCTGGAAGCGACTGGAAATTGCCCCCTTAAAGCTGTGCATTTTTCCCACAGGGCAGCAAACGTGCTACTGTTTGAGACTGAGTGGAGCAAATTACATTGGGTTGTTTTGAACAATGCCATAGATCACGTGTGCTACCAACTTGTTTTTACAATTCGTTTTGCCCGGTAACGATAGACGTGCCAGGATGTCGCACAACCAACTTCCTAACACAAGGTGGCAGAGCTTTATTGAAAAACACGAACGTGAATGAAAACATTCCACGGCACACATTTACTGCTCGGGACACGCATATCAATTTACCTCAGCGATTTATGCATCGTCACGATTCAGTCGTGATCCAATTCAATATTTGTTTTGCTATAATATTTTTACAGTCTCAATTTTACAACGTGTTCCATTTATAAATAACCCACCACTGATGTAAAAAAACGCTCTTCTGAACAGAGCAGTAGCTCCATATCTTAGAGAGGAGAATGTTATAATATTTTTTTAATAAGGGCTATTCGATTAGTGGGCGATATCCAAAAGGCTTTGAAAATAACTAATTTCTATATAATTTCTCGCTATTATTGTCGTGGTGGTACAGCCCCCTTCCACCAGCTTTGTCACGAGAAACAACCAATCACAGAGCCGCACCTTCACCTTTGAAACAAAAAATAGTCAAATGGATCACGTCGTACTGTCACGTGGATCACGTCGTACTGTCACGTGGATCACGGCGTACTGTCACGTGGATCACGACGTACTGTCACGTGGATCACGTCGCAGTGTCACGTGGATCACGTCGCAGTGTCACGTGGATCACGACGTACTGTCACGTGGATCACGACGTACTGTAACGTGGATCACGACGTACTGTCACGTGGATCACGACGTAGTGTCACGTGGATCACGACGTAGTGTCACGTGTATCACGTCGTACTGTCACGTGGATCACGACGTAGTGTCACGTGGATCACGACGTACTGTCACGTGGATCACGTCATACTGTCACGTGGATCACGTCGTACTGTCACGTGGATCACGACGTACTGTCACGTGGATCACGACGTACTGTCACGTGGATCACGTCGTAGTGTAACGTGGATCACGACGTACTGTCACGTGGATCACGACGTAGTGTCACGTGGATCACGTCGTACTGTCACGTGGATCACGTCGTACTGTCACGTGGATCACGACGTAGTGTCACGTGGATCACGACGTACTGTCACGTGGATCACGACGTATTGTCACGTGGATCACGACGTACTGTCACGTGGATCACGACGTACTGTCACGTGGATCACGACGTACTGTCACGTGGATCACGACGTAGTGTCACGTGGATCACGTCGTGGTGTCACGTGGATCACGTCGTGGTGTCACGTGGATCACGACGTAGTGTCACGTGGATCACGACGTAGTGTCACGTGGATCACGTCGTACTGTCACGTGGATCACGACGTAGTGTCACGTGGATCACGTCGTACTGTCACGTGGGTCACGTCGTAGTGTCACGTGGATCACGTCGTAGTGTCACGTGGATCACGTCGTACTGTCACGTGGATCACGTCATACTGTCACGTGGATCACGTCATACTGTCACGTGGATCACGTCGTACTGTCACGTGGATCACGACGTACTGTCACGTGGATCACGACGTAGTGTCACGTGGATCACGACGTACTGTCACGTGGATCACGTCATACTGTCACGTGGATCACGTCATACTGTCACGTGGATCACGTCGTACTGTCACGTGGATCACGACGTACTGTCACGTGGATCACGACGTACTGTCACGTGGATCACGACGTACTGTCACGTGGATCACGACGTAGTGTCACGTGGATCACGTCGTGGTGTCACGTGGATCACGTCGTACTGTCACGTGGATCACGTCGTACTGTCACTTGGATCACGACGTACTGTCACGTGGATCACGTCGTAGTGTCACGTGGATCACGACGTACTGTCACGTGGATCACGACGTGGTGTCACGTGGATCACGTCGTACTGTCACGTGGATCACGACGTACTGTCACGTGGATCACGTCGTACTGTCACGTGGATCACGTCGTACTGTCACGTGGATCACGTCGTGGTGTCACGTGGATCACGACGTACTGTCACGTGGATCACGACGTACTGTCACGTGGATCACGACGTACTGTCACGTGGATCACGACGTACTGTCACGTGGATCACGACGTAGTGTCACGTGGATCACGTCGTGGTGTCACGTGGATCACGTCGTGGTGTCACGTGGATCACGTCGTGGTGTCACGTGGATCACGACGTAGTGTCACGTGGATCACGACGTAGTGTCACGTGGATCACGTCATACTGTCACGTGGATCACGACGTACTGTCACGTGGATCACGACGTGGTGTCACGTGGATCACGTCGTACTGTCACGTGGATCACGTCGTACTGTCACGTGGATCACGTCGTGGTGTCACGTGGATCACGACGTACTGTCACGTGGATCACGACGTACTGTCACGTGGATCACGACGTACTGTCACGTGGATCACGACGTACTGTCACGTGGATCACGACGTAGTGTCACGTGGATCACGTCGTGGTGTCACGTGGATCACGTCGTGGTGTCACGTGGATCACGTCGTGGTGTCACGTGGATCACGACGTAGTGTCACGTGGATCACGACGTAGTGTCACGTGGATCACGTCGTACTGTCACGTGGATCACGACGTAGTGTCACGTGGATCACGTCGTACTGTCACGTGGATCACGACGTACTGTCACGTGGATCACGTCGTACTGTCACGTGGATCACGTCGTGGTGTCACGTGGGTCACGTCGTACTGTCACGTGGATCACGACGTAGTGTCACGTGGATCACGACGTAGTGTCACGTGGATCACGACGTAGTGTCACGTGGATCACGACGTAGTGTCACGTGGATCACGACGTAGTGTCACGTGGATCACGACGTAGTGTCACGTGGATCACGACGTACTGTCACGTGGATCACGACGTAGTGTCACGTGGATCACGACGTACTGTCACGTGGATCACGACATACTGTCACGTGGATCACGACGTAGTGTCATGTGGATCACGACGTACTGTCACGCGGTGTCGTCTTGTCGGTTCCTTGATCACAAATATATAACGACGTGAATTTTTACTCAATCAGAAATAATTGACGATTAAGATCATGCGTGTATTGTAAGCATAACAATTCAACTATGCCATATTAAATTACGTAAATACTTGGGATGAGTTTTACGTAGTGAAACCGATGAGCATAAGAACAATTCAAACAAGCGTCACAATTCACGATTCGAATCGAGAAGTGGCAATTTTTTCCCCCCCGACCGATTTTACTCTTGTTTTGGGTTTTGTTTTTCTCCCTCATTTTGCATAGCTGTAAATCTATTCGCATTAACGTAACATGTACATATCATTTGCGCAGTTGATGCACTGCTGCATATCTCATGAATATGAATAAGCCAAAATCATCTCAAATGTATTGGGTTGCATACCAGACACAGCAATGGAAAATACGATTGCCAACCACGCATTATATTGGGCCTCTTAAAATAGGCATTGTCATTGCACCGATTGGAAATTCTCCAAGAAGAAATGCAAATTCACTGTCAGGAAACAAATCTACTCTTAATGAATGCGGTTGTCATTGGGTTTTCAAACCACGATTACGGCCTTGGTCGGTCCGAGTGATGATTCATCCTCATATCATATTCGCCTTATGCCGACTGCTCCACACAACGGGCAATGATCACACGTTCCTACGGCAATGCGATGTTATCGTTAAAGACCATTATTAACCGGCTGGTGTTACTGGCTGCAGTGCAATAAAAATGGGCGGATCCTGTCCACAGCATTATTATTATAACTGTTGTTCAGAAGGTGAGAAACACGATTAGGCGTAGTTGCTGGGGTTGATGATGTGGGAAAGTAGCGTGGGCTGCATTGGAGAATTGTCAAATGACAGCCGCCGTGGAGAGAGAGAGTTCTAGAGCTCGTGCTGTACTTGTGCACGCACGCCCGGGCTAACGTCCGCAAGGCCTACCGGAGGACATTCAAGGACATTGTGTTGTAAATAAAACGGAAGCAAAAAGAAAAGGAATCAATTAAACTTGTGACAAAACAAGCGAGAACCCAGTGAAGAGAGGCAAGCTGTGAGTTAGAACAAAGAATCGAGCATTAGGGGTGGATGCATAAAAGGGGCACTTGGGTAGACATGGACAAAGGCATCTCACACATACCAGTGCTGTTCACAAGAAAGTTGTGAGCTGCTTCAAAAGATTCCTCCTGATTCAGAGCCTTTTCAGAGTCCTCGCGTGTGAAGCCGTGGTCCTGGAACGGTGGGAGAGCGTGTGAAAAAAAGAGGTTCTGCTCAGACTACCAGAACTTTCCGAGTGCATATAATATTGCACATTGAGAACCAGGTTAGCGGCCCCTTAGTCAACCAGCGGTGCTGAAGTATGTCAATACCCAAGACCTGCACGGCGTTGGAAGGGCCTCATCCAGCAGTGGATTGAAGTGCTGTACATGCACACATTTACATAGGGTACCATACTGCAAGTGTTACACTGATGCGTATTTTTAAACACCAAAATCATTAAGGAACAACTTTCAATCATTTAAAACACTTTGTATGTTTTTTTAAACATACAAATCATTAAGGAAAAACTATCAATCATCGAAAACACTGTGCGTACTGCACGTGTACAGCCTTTGTGTCAGTCCACTGCTTCTTAATGAGAGCCTCCCCCCATGCCGTCAGTGTGGGTTGGTGAAGGCAGGGAACACAGACGTTGCAGAGGAGTACAGTACAACATGGATGTTGCTGCATTGTCCTCTTTTGACAACGTAACCCCACAGCAACAGCATACTGCACCTGCTTTCTGCAGTGGTCACAAATGCAAGCACTATTAAGGCAAAAAAAACCTGCTGAGCTTTTTTGAGATCTGATGAGATCAGACGAATTTCAATGATTTTGCTCATGGGCTTATAAGTATAAGAATGGAATTCATTCAGGAAATCCTCAGTTTCAAAGCTCTTATTTTAAACTAGTACACTGCATTGGGATATTCAGCCAATTTCATGCAAAGAAAGGGAAGAAAGCAGTAGACCCCGACAAAATCTCAAAACAATTTTTTTTTTGTTCACCAGGTAAGGCCCACTGAGCTATATAGCACTTTTTCAACGAAATGGCTTTTGGAAATTTATAGCAGCAAAATACTATAAACGTATGTTTCTGAATATGGAGGGAAAAACCGGAGGACCCAGAGAAAAATCCACATGACCATGGGGAGAACATGCAACCTCCAAACATACAGGTATCAGGTTCGGGATAGAATGGGCAACCTCCTGTATACCAGGTGAGGGAGTTAACATCTCGCCAACACATCACACTCAGCAGGTGCACACAGATGGACTCAACACCTGCTTGCTGTACTGCGATATTGTGGCCACCTCGCAATCAAGCGGTATTCTTCAAATCTGAATGATTAACCTTAGCATGCTGGATCACAGGGGTGTACCACCACGCCCCGGCTAATGAGCTCAGGACATCAAAAGCTCAGGACAGTCCTTAAGCTTTCACTCAAATGATGTTGCAACGCTCAGATCATGCAACCGTTAACGTAGCATTAAAATTATGGTATATACATGCGCACAATAGGCTGACCATAATTTGAAGAATGATGCACTCCACTTCAATAACCCCAGCCTAAAATTAGGCGAGCCTAACAGCCTCCCACGTTTGCGTATTCAGAGTCAAAGCGTCTTGCTGTTTATCACTATTGGTGGTTGGAACCAAAGGTGTAAATTACCACTTTACAATGGTGGGGGGGGGGCATTCTCTCGCTAGCGTAACCACGATTGACTTCTTACAAAGCAGTGCTCATTTTACTGACTGTAGGGGGATGTGATGATGGGACGAGTCGGCCTCTGACGAGATGTGAATTTGCGTTTGTTCGAGAGTGAGTCAAGCACCCAAACAACAGTGCCACCTGGAAGATGACATTTGCGTAATAACTCACAGGATGTGACAGTGAATCAGTGCTGGTTGTGGCAACCGACAGTTGAAAAATGTCACAATTAGTCGATTAAAACTTTAAATATTCTGCTTTCAGAAGAATTTTCTTTGAATGTCGCATGGGCATACACAATACATTAAAACGTGAGGAATATAACGATTCAGCACGACAAAACAACGTTATAATTTGTAAAAAAACATGTGGTTGCGACTTGATTCAAGAATTATTTGTATAGTTTTTTCCCGTCTATTTTGTACAGTTCCAGTTGCTCCCTAAACAAAAATATCATATTTACAATTTGTGTTAACAGTAAGTCATTCAGTCTCGTGGGTATGTTTAAATGCATAAATCATGCGCGCAATAATACGATTTTCAATGATTTATCGACGGATTGTTACACGTCAACTCAACATGTATGTGATGAACAATCTTGATATGCAATTATGCATCATCACAAGTAAATACTAGGGAGTATTTCCGGAAACGGATCACCCTTCATTAAAGAACAATTATAGAACAGCAGTTTGAAATGCACAGTTTAATGTTGGGTTTATGTGAACGATAAAGTGCATGGCCCAAAACTGGGAAACTTTGAGTTGATCTTCAACATCACTTCATGACAGAAGCATAACAAAAATTACAGCCGAGATGTTTATGAACACCTGGAAATCTGTCAAATGTGTCACCAACACCATGGTCGACACCTGCAGGAATGGAGGGGTGAGACGTTATATGATTGGGCTTTAACTTTGCGCGTGGGGAAAGGCGGCGAAGTGGTTAGCACACTGCGCCGAGAACCCGGCGACCCGCTTTCGATTCCCGCTCACGAGGCCAACGTCGGTGACAAACATCTGAACCGGTCCTGGATCTCCCCCTAGGTCGACGCCGCCCGAATCGAATCCCTCGTGCGGTGTGTAAACATCAGCGTTGGGAAGATTAAGTGCGGCTGGGTGTAGGGCTGGCCACCCACCCTTCATGTGCCGTGCAGGTATTAACAGGTGCTCGCTAACAGCACTTGGCGGCCCAACAGTCTGTTAGAGGCTATGGACGAGACCGTTATAGATATAGTAAAACCTTGGGTTGCGAGCATAATTCGTTCCGGAAACGTGTTTGTAATCCAAAGCGCTCATATATCAGTTGTGATCACGTGACGCTCGGCAGTACAAAGCGTATACGTGCTGCTCGTATTGCAAGACCTCGCTCGTTTATCAAATTTATATTTATTTAAAATTTTTGCTCGTCTTGCAAAACACTCGCAGACTAAGTTACTCGCATTCCAAGGTTTTACAGATAGTGTGTAAATTCAAATAAAAATATAAACAAGTGCACTGGTTGGTAATGCATATGCCAATACTCACCATCAGCCTCTCAACTTTGATTGAAAATAAAGCCTCTACAGCTTCCTCACAGTCTTTATCCAAGTCGAGGACTCTCTTGAAGGCTTCTTCAGCCTGTTTGTATTTCTAAGGGTGGAGAGAGAAACAATCGATTACTCACACATTAAAACAAACCTCAACATCGTCATCTGCCTCAGAACGGAGAAGCACAAGTAGGCTTTTGTTCACAAGGTTTTTTCACAAGGTTTAGTTTGCTCAATGTCTGCTCATGTTAATCTGTTCACATGTCAAATCAAACTGTTCACCTGTCAACTGTCTAAAATGTCTCAGTGTTCTTGGTGCATCCCAACATAAATTGTGAGTGACAAAAACATTATTAATATATAAAATTTGGTAGCACTGCATTGGTAGTGCTGCAGAAAGCACACTGATCATAAACCCTCACATTCGTCAATACTACTGCATTCAAAATAAAAGGTAAATGATAGTCAACGTTTTGGGCCATGGCCCTTCTTCACAGCACAGAGAGGTAGAGTGGCAACTTCTTATATTACACTATTACTAACACTATATTTTATTTTACCAAGTAAAATAAAATATAGTGTTGCATTATATTGTTTCCAAATTTTACTAAATCTTGTTCAATTTGATATGCTTCTCCATCTTTCTGTTTCCTCTCTCTCTTAAATTTAGCTCTGTCCCATGTGTACGTCTCTCTCTGTGTCTCTGTGCTGGCTCTCTCTGCTTGGATGTCTGTATATATGTCTGTGATCTGTACTCTATCACTCTTAACCTATAATTTTGCAATCTTTGAAATAACTTAATCAGCCAGACTATGTGTTAATTGTGTTTTGACCGACCCTCTGTGCTGCATTATATTGTTTCCAAAATTTTACTAAATCTTGTCCAATATGATGTGCTTCTCCATCTCTCCGTTTCCTCTCTCTTATTAAATTTAGCTCTTCTATACCTGATGATGATTGCTTGCGTTGCAATCGAAACGTCGTATGCTATTATGTAATTGTATTTCATCATTATTTCTTATTTTTACGTGACTTTACCGAAAAAACCAAAGAGTAATTCCCACTAAGCGATATAGCTATTTTTCAGAAGTGACCTGGCTATTGCAAGTGATTTCTCACCAAAGTGGCTTATCGCATGGACGTTTAGAGCAGCCAAATACTCTTTAACGCATTTTTCTAAACTGTGGCCGGAAAAAAAACAAAGGACCTGGAGAAAAATCCATGCAACCACAGGGACAACGTGCAAACTCCAAACATACATGCGTCAGGGTCGAGATTGAGCCCACGACCTCCTATGCACCAGGCAAGGTAGTGAACATATAGCCACCGTGGTGCCCCACAGCACACGAGAAGCCAGAGAGATAAGAGTGGCAACCTCTTGATAGCATAGAGAGGCCAGAGAGTTGCCACTCTACCTCTCAATGTGCTGTGACGGGCCATAGCTAGGAATCGAATCCTATGGGCTGGGTTTATAGAGCAGTGCACCAATGCACCCGCCAACTGTCAGTTAACACAATTCTCTCTCTTCTCTGAAGAGGGATCCCCTGGCTGAAACATCGGTGTTGACATTTCCCGATGTTCAAACATTCCATCAGGTACTTATTTAATGCCGAATTGAGATAACGACTTGCAACTGTAAGTAATCAAATATCTCTGTTCTAATGATGGGTGGATTGGCTAAAATGTCAGCATTCTATATCGTGTCTTTCCACTCAAACCTTTAAAACTACTTTTTGTGTTTAGTTTGTTGTCCATCCCCCGCACCGACCATTAGCTTGGTTGGCTACGTATGGTACCAAAGAAGTTCAACATACATACATACCTGTAAATAATGGGAAATATCAATGTTTGTTACACAGAAAGTCCTGTTTAGCCAGTTGCCCAGCTAGTATGCAGTTGAGATTCGTGTTGCATGAGCACAGACCAAGAAGATCCTTACAGGGAAATAGGAATGTGCCAAGAGGTGCAGGCAAAAAGAATGCTTCAAGAATGTTTTTTTTAACAATAATAATTAAAACATAATAGAAAAACTGCAGGCTGGAAAAGGCAGAAAAGTGTGTAAAAAGCACACAGCCATTGCACGCTATGCAAATAAAAATGGCCAATTGACAACAGCTGCATCACTTCTGCTTTCGAAATGTCACATTTGTCTTCGGTGGTGATCGAAGACAAGATAACCAAATTGCACTTCTTCAGGAAATGCCGACGTATTTCTTTCTATTGGGAATCCGTGTTCATGATGTGGGTTTTTTCTGGTTTCCCTCTGCACGACACTATGCAAAAAATGATAGGTTTTACCCTTTCCGGCAAGAATACCGGTGTTAAGTTGTTCAAACAACAGACACCCCCATCACAAGGCATCAATTCTGCATTAACCACATTTGGAAACAAAAATGCATTGATATTGTCTGCATTGTCCTTGAAACTGATTCGCTTACACCAGACGGCCTCCTTTATGGCCTTGTCTCACGATGTTAGATCAAAGAGCGCCAAAAGGCAAACAGGACAATGCAAATATCAAAGCACCATTATTTCGGGTCCAGCAGTTATATCCATACTAACTATTAAGCCTATTTTTTTAACTAACTAGGCTCGTGTTTTGGATAAAGGCCAAAATATTTATTTGAAAATAATGAAACGTCACAGCCTAATACATATTTTCCCATTGTAAGGTAGTGTTAATGATGAAGGCGGTGTTTTCTTGCAAGGTAGTGTTAATGATGAAGGCGGTGTTTTCTTGCAAGGTAGTGTTAATGATGAAGGCGGTGTTTTCTTGCAAGGTAGTGTTAATGATGAAAGCGGTGTTTTCTTGCAAGGTAGTGTTAATGATGAAGGCGGTGTTTTCTTCATGGGTGCCTGTATACCACCGCCGCCAATGCCAACCCATTTATTTTTTTACATTAAGAATAACATTCTATAGTTTGTTTGAAAAAAAAAAAGTTGTTACTAAAGAATAACGGTGAGTAAAGAACGGTAATAGTGTGAACATTTTTTTCCCCGCCGGCATTAGGCACCGATCTGAACTCGAATCTGAGTGCATAAAATTACGCACAACTAGCTTTTGTCCACATTATGGAACATTTTGGAAATACATTTAACAGAAATTAAACTTCACTGATACTGCATTGCCACTTGGCGTCAACAAAAATCTCGTTGACCGTTACACCATTACAGCCGAACAGCCGAGAACCTCCACGCCACCATAACATGTCCAGGATCACTGCCGTCTAAACGGAAAATAACTTCCTTCGGACCAAAACGATAAAAGTTTAAACCCTCCAAATTCAAAGACCAGTAAATATTTAACTTCAAATGGAAGCCGAACTTGTTTTCCAATTATTATGGGGTAACAGGATATTTGTTTCAGTTTCCAATGTTATCTTATCCAATCCTACGATTTCCTTCCATTAATTTGTTGTTGTAGTATTGTTGTTACAGCCTTGAAAAAGTGTGGTAATGTTTCCTGGCAAGGAATGCTGAGATTCTTTACAATAGCGTGTCATGCATGGGCTTTGCGACCAACTGTTGCTGTTAAGTTGCTCATAAGTGGACAAGGGTTTAAATAATCACATGGCCCAAAAATGGGAAAAGGGTTCAACCAGCTGGAAAACGAGATTTCTGTCTAAAAAACAAAATGTATGTAAATACAATTGTGAAATAAGTGCATATAAATTAAGTATTTTAATTGTTTATATTAATATTTTTCTGTATTCTTGTTCTCGGTGGCATTTAAAGTCATTGGCCAACAGTTGTAGAGCACCGCTGTTTTTGGCACAATCTAGCAAATTCGCCACGTGTTTTGATGCCAATTTTGTACTTATCTATATTTTTTCCTTCCAGCATTTTCAAATGCATGTCAAAGATTTCCGAGCACCAGTATGTGTCGTCTCGATCTTCCTTTAAAAAAATCAGCACCTTGCCTCAATGCATGCTACCTAATGTAGGCGGCTTTGAGCGAGTTCACAGACATTTTGACTGCAAAATCATATTATACTTTTTCAATCGGCACAATTCAAAACCTCAAAACACAAACCTTATTTGCCATTAGGGAAGGCTTGTCAAGTACTGAATTGTGGTGCATGTCATCTAGAAAAACTGACCTCAGTGTGTGCTACTTGAATATTTATATAAATACACACACAGGCCTGGAGGATGCTGCCTTGATGTAATGGTTAGCACACTGGACTTGCAATCTCGAGGTTGCCGGTTCGTTTCGATTTCCCGGCATGGCAGCTTAAACATTGGGCACGTTTATTATATCTCCTCATCTGTGATCACCCAGAAATATATATATGGGTAAGCACAGTTAGTTGATTGGCTGGTTGCGTGCAGTGAGGTAAAGTGTGGGTACTCCCACCTCTTCCAAGGCGTGTGGCCAGCATGGAAGAGCAGGCCAAATACTTTGCGAAGTGGGCTGTCTAGAACGCCCTCCAGTCGAGGTCCTTCCACTAGCAGTGGCACAAGCAAGCAATTGCATGGCTGCGCCTTTACCACCTGCATATGGATGTGCTGGGTGATTTGGCAGCGACACCTTCTCACCATCCATTGATCGCGAGGGCAAGTTCTGCTGCTCTGGCTGCGTATATTAGCACCTCCGATTAGCACGATTGGCTACGTATGGTGCGAAAGAAGTTCAACATACGTATATATACACGTGAGATAATGTGTGCTCTTTGCCTCAAGTCCGAGCAAGGCACGTCCACGGCGAAAGTGTCCCTTGGCCCAGCCTGGGAAGAGGTCGAGAGCCACATCAGCATCCTTCAGAGCCTTGGGGAACTGACGCAGCATGTCATAACAGTACGAGCGGTTCCCAAACGGCCTGCACACGCCACAGCACCCGGCAGCCACATCAGCGAGATCCAAGTCCCACACAGAGAGACGACGCAGAGACAGGAACAGGCACAAACATGCACAAACACGCACAGGACCTAAAACATTCTAAACATTCCCATTTAACGTTACAGTCCGGCGCTTGTCCAAACTTCCTGACCTTTCTAGCCACATACCAAGATCTTCACATGGCCAAGAGCCACAAAACACACACGATGTTACAGATGCATTTCCCTTGCGGGTCACGTGGGGTCGGTCATCTGGCCGGTTCACTCGAGATGGTTGGCGGTGAAGTTTTTACATTTACAAAACTGGGGGCGCGCGCAATTGGCTCGCTAACAGTGCCTGGACCACCCCTGCCATTGACCATCGGGGAAAGTGTCGTTAGCGAGCACCTATTAAGGATGGAGCAATGCTTGATGTGTGGCCAGTACCAAGCACGGCCACCGCCGTCTCCCCAGTGCTCATGTTTATAGACACTTCTCCAGCTACTCGTTTGAGGCAGTTGACTTAGGGGAGCCTCAAAGACAGGTTCAGAAATGACTTGCAACTGATGTTATCTTTGACTGAGTTTTATCTACTATGTACCCAGTGACATCATGTGAAATTATGCTGCATTTATTATAACCTGCTAACTCCAGCTAGAATTATGAAACATGGAGAGCGTGATTGCATTTATAGATATCCCACGAACATAATTAGGGAGACATTTTAGAGAAAACAAGATATTACTTAAAATCCTCCACACGTCTTCCCACCAATCTCAATACACGAAAATAAATATTTTAAAACTCTCCCTCCGTGAGATAAGGGGCCATCACTTTAACAATATTAAATCACCCATTCGGAATAAAGTAAGATGATTGCGAGAAATCAGTGGGGCAATCTATAAATGGATCGCCCTGTATTCCAGCTCGCTAAATCCAGTTGCAATTTCTCTTGTATGAAGTGTAGAAATGTGCATGCAAACTCCACTTCATGGGAGTGTATTTTGGCTGTAGTGCAATAAGACAAATTGCATTATTTTAGGTGTGTATATTTCTAGCTGTCAGGACATACCCAGTAGTGTTAAGAAACCTCAACCACGTGTTAAGTTCTGATTTTCACCTGCAAATACACCTTTGTTGCCCATTGGCAACTCACCATATCCAACTACAAAAGGTACAGTGAGGGAAAAAAGGATTTGATCCCCTGCTGATTTTGTACGTTTGCCCACTGACAAAGAAATGATCAGTCTATAATTTTAATGCTAGGTTTATTTGAACAGTGAGAGACAGAATAACAACAACAAAAAATCCATAAATACGCATGTCAAAAATGTTATAAATTGATTTGCATTAAAATGAGGGAAATACGTATTTGACCCCTCTGCAAAAACATGATTTAGTACATGGGTGGCAAAACCCTTGTTGGCAATCACAGAGGTCAGACGTTTCTTGTTGTTGGCCACCAGGTTTGCACACATCTCAGGAGGGATTTTGTCCCACTCCTCTTTGCAGATCTTCTCCAAGTCATTAAGGTTTCGAGGCTGACGTTTGGCAACTCGAACCTTCAGCTCCCTCCACAGATTTTCTATGGGATTAAGGGCTGGAGACTGGCTAGGCCACTCCAGGACCTTAATGTGCTTCTTCTTGAGCCACTCCTTTGTTGCCTTGGCCGTGTGTTTTGGGTCATTGTCATGCTGGAATACCCATCCACGACCCATTTTCAATGCCCTGGCTGAGGGAAGGAGGTTCTCGCCCAAGACTTGACAGTACATGGCCCCGTCCATCGTCCGTTTGATACGGTGAAGTTGTCCCGTCTCCTTAGCAGAAACCCCCCCCCAAAGCATAATGTTTCCAACTCCATTGACAAGATGGTGTTCTTGGGGTCATAGGCAGCATTCCTCCTCCTCCAAACACGGCGAGTTGAGTTGATGCCAAAAAGCTCCATTTTGGTCTCATCTGACCACAACACTTTCACCCAGTTGTCCTCTGAATCATTCAGATGTGCATTGGCAAACTTCAGACGGGCATGTATATGTGCTTTCTTGAGCAGGGGGACCTTGCGGGCGCTGCAGGATTTCAGTCCTTCACGGCGCAGTGTGTTACCAATTGTTTTCTTGGTGACTATGGTCCCAGGTGCCTTGAGATGATTGACAAGATCCTCCCGTGTAGTTCTGGGCTGATTCCTCACCGTTCTCATGATCATTGCAACTCCACGAGGTGAGATCTTGCATGGAGCCCCAGGCCAAGGGAGATTGACAGTTATTTTGTGTTTCTTCCATTTGCAAACAATCGCACCAACTGTTGTCACCTTCTCACCAAGCTGCTTGGCAATTGTCTTGTAGCCCATTCCAGCCTTGTGTAGGTCTACAATCTTGTCCCTGACATCCTTGGAGAGCTCTTTGGTCTTGGCCATGGTGGAGAGTTTGGAATCTGATTGATTGCTTCTGTGGACAGGTGTCTTTTATATAGGTAACAAGCTGAGATTAGGAGCACTCCCTTTAAGAGTGTGCTCCTAATCTCAGCTCGTTACCTGTTTAAAAGACACCTGGGTGCCAGAAATCTTTCTGATTGAGAGGGGGTCAAATACTTATTTCCCTCATTAAAATGCAAATAAATTTATAAAATTTTTGACATGCGTTTTTCTGGATTTTGTTGTTGTTATTCTGTCTCTCACTGTTCAAATAAACCTACCATTAAAATTATAGACTGATCATTTCTTTGTCAGTGGGCAAACGTACAAAATCAGCAGGGGATCAAATACTTTTTTCCCTCACTGCAATTTGTATAAGATACTGGGAAATTGTACATTTTTGTGAGGCTCTTCAACAACCACAGTAATTCTAAAAATGAAAAAAAAAACTGCATTACCCATCGTCATGCAATGTACTTTTTATCTACGACAGGTCAAAGAGCGATCGAGGGCTTAGTTCTAAAGTGACGGCCGTCAGTCTTTGGACACGTCGCCCATCTTGATGCGCAAACTCCAGCAAGCGGCGCAGCTTCAGTTGGCGGTTGACGGTCGAAGAAGACTGCGACCTTACAAGAATGACGCCACCCCCTTGGTCACCCCCCGTGAGACATCGCTCATATAAATTATTAGTGACATCACAATGGCAGCAAGATAATTTTTTGTTAACGCTGTCGCAAGAGGGCACAAGACTGGTGCAACGGTCTTTTGCCGACTATGCGTGACGATTGATTGATCTGTGCATATAGGCCATCGTCACCATCGGCAAAGATGCATTCACTGCTGGAAGGCAGTTTACCCCGAGCTCGCGATGCAACAATCATCGAGCTGATTTCATCACATCTCCATGACAAGACGTATTTTAGGGTGTTCCCCCTCCTTTGGCTGCCACTCGGTTGTTAGTCTTGACCACAGGCTATCATGCCTTACAGCGGTTTGACCTACTTCAGCCCACTTACTTTTCTTAAAAATCAAGATGACGTTGTGTATGGTCCCAGATCCAACTATTCCTCTGCCTCTCAGTCGAATTGCAAGCATGCACCTCTCTACGCTGCTTTGTGCAGTTTTCACAATTTGTTCCATTTTGAAATTGTCCTCATTTCTGATCCACGTGAAGGTCAAAAGTGGCGTTTAATTCATTCGACTGGCATACGAACGCGGGATGGGCGAATACAATAAAATAACACAAAATATATTATTTACAGCACTTTGAATAATGTATATTTGTTAGACACGGTCACAAGTCGACATGGTGTTTGAGCGAAGGTACCGGAAAGCTCACCGGTAGTCGTACGGGTCTATCGATATCGCTTTCGAGAAGCACTTCACGGCTTCGCTGTACTGCCCATTCTGCGCTCTGTCGTTCCCAAGCACTGCATGGCATACAAGACGAGTCAAGCACACGCACAGGGGGGGGGGGGCATACATTCATAAGGAGGCACATTCCACGTGCTCCAAAAGGCAACTTCACCTTTAAAGACGAGTACGCGTACAGCTCTTTTGTCAAACCACTGCTGGACGAGGGTCTCTCCACCCCATGCAGGTGTCGAAGGTTACTGGACCACGCTTCACCACGTCGGTCAGCGCAGGTTGGTGAAAGCGGGGAGCATAGTACAATACAACGATGGAATTTGCTGCACTGCTGTCTGCCGACTGAAGCGCCGCAATAGCCGACAACAGCTGCTTTATGTCCGATTCACGTTGGGTCAAATGTACAAATCACGACCTAGAAAATAATTTGTGGACTAATAATGGAGGCTGCTGTTTAAAAAATAATATTTGGAAATGGTGTATAATTTATTTGAAAAACTAATGCAGACCTAACTCCCCTTTTGTCATTTCCAGTTACACTCAAGACAGTTGGGAGGATGGAATGTGTGCTTTACACAAAAAAATGTATGTATTTACAGCACAAACTGTTTTTTAATGGACTTAACAAAGACTAAAATTATTCCACTGCCAATGTTTTCTTGTGAAAGCCCAAGTTGGATAATAAAATATTCCTTTCAAAAGGATACTTTAGTTTTGCCAATTAATATTACCATATGGATCTATCAAGCATCTCAATTCTACCGCATCTCAAGACGCTGTACAATAATCAGGACATGCACAGCATGGCGAACCACCAAGAACAGGAAGTGTAATATAGGTAAAGACAGTAAAGTCATATGTAGGAGGGAAGGAAAATAGACTTGAACAGGTTCAGGGAATTAGCAGGACGGATGGCTGGGGAAAGGAAGTGCACCAGACGATGGGAGCATCAGAGAAGAATGAGTAACCTTAATTCTAGATTTGAAGCTTTCGTGACTGCAAGGATTCATACTCTTTGGTTCTATTCGGTAAAGTCACGTAGGTAAAACAAATTAAAATAAATTGAAATAAAATGAAAGAAACAATTAAAACACGACGGGTCGCGGCATAAAAAACACGACGTTTCGGAGGCAAAGCAAGCTTCCGTCTTCAGGTGGGACCAGTCACAGCAAAATCACTTGGTGCAGCCATTTTGCTGTGACTGGTCCCACCTGAAGACGGAAGCTTGCTTTGCCTCCGAAACGTCGTGTTTTAATTGTTTCTTTCATTTTATTTCAATTTATTTTAATTTGTTTTACCTACGTGAATTTACCGAATAGAACCAAAGAGAATGAGTGACCTCTCATTGACCTGAGCTTGAGAAAGGGTCGACAACAATGTCACAAAGTAATGGTTACAAAAAAAAAACCTGTATCTCTTGGGATGCGAACGTGAAGTGATGCAATTTGAAGACAGCAGAATGGTTACTTACACAGGTATTCTCTGCTTTTTAACGAATCGGAGTCGGGGTCTTCTCCCTAAACAAAGCAAGCACAGAGGCACAAGTGTGCGCAAAGTCATAAATGACCGAAGTACAGAATAAGGATTAATATTTGGTCGTTTGTACTGGCTGCTTGGAGATCACATACACTGAGCAATGCGCTGATCAGAATCTAAAATTCCAGGGTACATTTCATTACAAATTTAAACTGTAACATTTCAGTGTGACCTCCACGCGTTCGTCAGGAATTCACCTTTCTGAAAGAAATGTAATTGTCATCAGAGCCACACTGCATTCGCAAGATAACCTTCTATTGCGAATTTTTTTACGGAAAAAAAATATATAGTTCATGCCCTACCATCGTAAGTGCGTTAGGTTCCACTCAGCATCTCAGCCAGCGGCACAGTGAAATATTTAGTGCTGCGTGCTGGGTTCAAAGGTTTTATTGTGCAAGTCTTTGGAACAGGCATAGAATTTAGTGCAGTTGTGGAGGGAACCAAATTTTATTCAAACAAAGATGACCATTTAAGAGCAACAGCCAGGTGGTTCAGAGGTCCGAGCACTGGGCCGGTAATCCAGAGATCCTGGGTTCTTAAGGGTAGCGAGTCAATGGTCTCAGCTTGGTCACCACAAAGAGTGAGCAAAAATCCATCACATTAAACTTAGTTCTGCATTTAAGTTTCACAAAAATTCAAGATCTTGAAAATTTTAAATATCAGTTTGACCAAAATACAACAAACATCAGTCTCTGTAGATGGGTGTGTGTGAAAGTCCTGCCCCCTGCTGCGTGGCCCAGAGGTTACTAAAAGGGATCTCAGAATTAGTTCTGCAATATCCGCTTCCATGGGCCATTCTCTAAGATACCGGGTGCACCGATCAGCGACAGTTCAGACTGGATTCTTCGTCTCATGCCACTGACACGAAGAGCACAAGTGGGGTAACATTGTGAAAGACGACACAAGTGACACGGAATGCTCCCGATGCACAGCTCCTATTCAGTTCCTGAAACTTGCCTCCATCATGGATGCCTCGCTCCTCCTCTTCTTGTCAGCTTTGCTGGGTTTTTGTAATGCCTTCACGTGGCTCGCCGCCACAGCAAAAAAAGCACTGTTGACGTCCCACTCTGCATCCTGCTGTGGGAACGCAAGGAGATGGCAGTGGTTAAAAAGGGAATTACAGTAAAAAAAAAGGATACAAAAATACGAATAGGTTTTACCATTTTTGGCAATGAAACAGGTGTTCAGATGTTCAAACACCAAACATAAACCTTTTGCAAGGAATCAAGTCTGCACTAACCACACACAGTACTTGTCGGGAACATGCTAACAAAAGCATGCTCTTTGAAACTCGTTGGTCTACACCAGAGAGAGACAGGCTTCTTTAGGGCCTAGTCTCACCAGTGTCAGACCAGAGAATGCCAAAAGGCGAACAGTAACAGTGGTGAGACGAGGCCCTAAAGAAGGCTGTCTCTGGTGTAGACCAATCAGTTTCAAAGACAATGCCATATATTATCAGAGCATGTTTTTGTTTGCATGTTCACCAAAAGTACGTGTGGTTAATGCAGACTTGATTACTTGCAAAAGGTTTATATTTGGCGTTTGAACATCTTAACACCTGATTTATTTGCCAGAAAGGGTACAATCTATTCTTATTTTTTCATACCCACCGAGCTAGAAGCTGTTTTCAGACGCGACCCGCCCACAAATGATAGCTCAACATAAGTGGCTTAATTTATAGCAGCCAAGGTGATTCATTACGAACAATATTCATCACACTCGCTCGATAACTCTTGCAGTTTTAGTCATCTTAGTCGCACACAGCTGTTTGGATATTATAAAACAAATCTGAGTTCACTTTTTTGGTAACAGCATTGTTTGTGTCTAACTTGCACGTTTGTTCCTTGTTTTTGATCACACACGGCAGACGATGTTTTAATTTCACTACCCCTTTGATAAGTCTTTTCAAAAACACAACAGAGCAGCTTTTATGTCCTGGTTTAAAAGTGGACAATGATTTACTACCTAACATTTGATGCAACGAAAATATTGCGTTACGTTTTTGTTGCATGAGAAAAGTCCTTAGCAAAAAGCAGAGAAACCGAACCCTACAGGGAAAGGCTCTGGAATCTAATAAACAGGCTGTCACAAGTAAGATGAAGAATGCTTCTCAATTTCCCTCTTACTCAACATTCTTTAGCAGTGAAGAGGATTAGAAGGATATTCCTGGTAAAGATCCTTTTTAGTTTCTCACACAGTGTTACGCAAATTTATGTTTGCAGGTGTATGACTAAGTATCCTTATGTATTTTTCGATTTAAAGCTTTCGTGACTGCAGGGATTCATATAAATAAAACAATACAATTATCACAACGTTTCGATTGCAACACAAGCAATCATCATCAGGTGCTGTGGGCTGCAGACTGTACAGCCCTCTCTACGTGACTTTGCCGAAAGAACCAAGAATATGAATTCTTATGTAATAAGGAACGTTACTGGTCTGCCCGCCGGGCAGTAAAAGTCAGTCACAACCCTTTCTTCAGCGATGTTTGTAAGGGCACATTATGAGTGATATAAAATATAATACCATTTGGATTTATACGGCATCCAAATCCTTAAATATTTAACAAAGTCCCTGTATATCCTTATTTCGTCTGTATTGCTATTTTTTTTGTCTACACTTTATCTACAAACATAAGTGTTATAACAAACAAACTGTTTCCCTCCAGTTATCATGTGAACATTAACATTTCTCGTGCAAGGTTTTCACAAATTGTGATTTACACTTAAGAAATATATGAAAACCCTTTTATTCCATTTTTAATAGCAAACAAATGGAAAAGAGTGCTATGAGATAATCCACAGAGTCGTGGCGCGTGGGCAGCGATCAGTGCTGGTTGCGGTGAACACAAAGCCAGTGTGTGGACACGCTCAGACACAAGCATGTGACTAATAATGACTCCAAATAATAATCATTCTCCAACCAATTAATTTATTTTAAAAAATGTGGGTTGCTGCAAATGGAAAATCTACAATTTTAAAACAACAGAATTTATCAAAACCATTCGGGAGTAGCGGGGAAAAAACGTCCCAGGCTGTCTCCCATGTGACTCCCTTCTTCAGAACGGAGAGGGCTGTACAGTCTGCACACAGTATCTATTGAAATAATTTGTGACCTGCCTCAGAACATTAACAATGGGCACACATGAGAACTGTTTAATTTCAAATCATAACACAGAATGAAAATCCTAAATCTCAAGAGGATTAGTTAAAAATGCTTGCGTGCCATGTACTACCAGACATTGCCAAGTCTTGGTCATATCTTGATGACAAGTAAACAATGTTCTTTTACAAATCCTTCCATATTCTTGGTTCTTTCGGTAAAGTCACATAGAAGGGAAATAACAAAATACAAATAAAACAATAAAATTATCACGACGTTTCGATTGCAACACAAGCAATCATCATCAGGTGTGAAAACCACAGCAAGAAATTTTGTATTTGTATTATTTTATTATTCCCCTTCTACATGACTTTACCGAAAGAACCAAGAATATGAATCCCTGCAGTCACGAAAGCTTAAAATAGAAATTTAAATCCTGCCATGTTTAGGTTTAGACCATGGGTCGGAAAACCAACATAACAAGAAAAGCCATTTTTTTAGAATTCGGTAAAGAAAGATTTTTTAAGAGCCGCAATGCTTGTGAATTACGTCACAAAGCAGTGCTTAAAGACCCCTGGGCTAAACAGTGTCTCACCTCTCCCAGCTCCGCTGTGCTTTTTCCTCTTGACTTTTTGGTTTTTGATTTCCTGTCGGCCGAGTGTCTCCGTCTGCTGAAGTCGTCTCCATTTGTCTGTCCGCCAAAATTTGTGTCACAGTTCCTGTTCAGACCGTTAAGAGCCTCCAAGTTTCTTTCCACCTCCTCCTCCTCTTCCTCTTCATCTTCCTCTGCATCCTCTCCCTCCTCCCCTTCATCGTCATCCGAAGAGGAGTCCTGTAAGAATGACATGTGATAGAGGCAGTGTGCTTAGCATCCATTGAATTCGAAGTGATCCAACACCCCTGCACCTGACTTATGTAGTAATGGACAGTCATGACACTTTCTTCAGTAATGTTTGTCGTATACAGTAGAGAAAGTGTTCATTTTGAAAGGAACGCGGGACAATCATTATTTATTCTACCGTAAAAACACTTTGCCATAGGCATTGTTCGTCTTTAATTTGTTGTCCTTTCCCAGCACCTCCGATTAATTATCAAGGTTGGCTATGTCTGGTACGAAAGAACATACATACCAAGCAAAGGAAAGTCAACAACATCAATCGGAGAGGGAAGAGAGTTCCAGAATATAGGGGGCAGCAGAGCAGAATGAGCCACCTTTAACCTATACTTTTTTTCATCTCGATCAAAAAAACCCCTTTCGTGAATGAAATTGTTCACTATCCTAACAGCAATGAGTGGTGGGTCTATATTTAAGTTGTAAACAAAGGCAAAATGTGGTACTACTGTACCCAATGTTAAGAGTGACGGCATGTTGGAGGGCAAAGCCTAATAAGTCCTAAGGCCTTTTGTGCTATGCAATTTTATTAAGGATTGGGACATACAAGCTCGTACACATTGTATTGTTTTGGTTGTTGATTGTGTATATCTATATGTAGCAAAGATGTATTTTTAAGTGGCCACACGTATTTATGATCTGCCAAATAGAGTTCAATGTCTCAACGGGCAGGCCTCTTTCAAAAAGTATTGGACAGTCCAGAGCATGGGAGACATGGACAGGTTGTCGCCCCGAAAAGGCTCATCGGCACAATGCAATCGCCTGTGCACTGCCACGGCGTGCCCAGAGAGTTGTGCGGTTGAGGAGAGCGCAGGGAAAACCGTGGGGTTCCTTGTTCGCTGTGATAACACACAACGGTGCTCATTTACAGGAATACAAATCTAACATGTTCAACGTCCACACGTATCTCCGTGCATGTAGATCCGTTGATATTCACATGCATATCCAATACGATGCCAATTCACATGCTGAGTAATGTTCCTTGCTTTTTCGTGAAAACGTGGCGACGTTCCCCCATCGCTGTCGACGGGCAAAATGCCAACGTAATTCATATTCTTAGCTCTTTCGGTAAAGTCACGTTGAAAGGATGTTTCAAGAGTTTCATCAAGAAGCAAATCTGGACGTGCTATTAAGTGCACATACTTATTACACCTGCCTCTATGACCGGACGCACACTTGCAGACCCTCATCCACTCCCCTGTGTAACAATTTTTTCTCACAAATCCTTGCACTCTCAGCTGTTCTGTCATTATCGAGATGCTATGTGTCGTGTTTGACATTGAACATAAATAAATCGTGCCCCCGATGACAGCAGACCTATTGAGAACGGCTATGGAATTCTCTGGGCAGGCCACAGCAAGCATGTGTGACCATCTGTTTGCACATTACTAAACATGCATATTTGCACAGGAGCGATCGGTACAAGAGATTAGAAGCTCTAATCCAAGCGGTAGCAGGCACATGTCATTGCTGGGCTTGCAAGGGCATTTCTTTCTCAATCATTTGGGTGAACATGAACATGCGTTTGATTTTTTTCCTGCCCGCTCATGCAAAGACACTCGCTTGACATGAGGGGTAAATGTTGCACACAAGGACAAAGATCCCCCCCCCATGTAGCCTTCAACAGACTTTGGGGGCAAGTGCTGTAAGCAAGCACATAAGGCTGGCACGGCACATGAGGGGCTGAGCCGACTGAGAGGTCGCCACTTAGGTTGGCCACGAGACGGGAATCGAACTTGGGTTGCCGGGTTCATAGCGCATGGCACCGACTACACAAACCTGTGCAGTGAACCAAAACACGTGTTTAACTTTGCATTTCACTTTGTCCAAACACAAGCAGTGTGCACTGGGATCTGAACTTGGCAGCCCGATTCTACTGTCGCTACCCACGCTCGCGCGCACATTCAAAACATAGACACACACTCCAAACAGAAGCCTTGAGAAACCTGTTAAACCCACTCACATTCTGGAATTCACAAGTTATCTAACTACACAAAAACGTGTGCAGTGGACTAGAACATGACTAACATTGCATTGTACCATAGCCAAATCGAACCAGTAAAGTAATATTATTAGTGTATTATTTACCGATTGCTTAGTTACTTTGACGTTAAACGTTAACCAGTGAACATTAACCAGTGACATTAACCAGTAAACATAAGAGGAGCTGAAGACCATACAAATGATCAACTAATTTTCATTGGCAATAACTACGTGAGATGATGGCAATAATCTAATTACATTTGAAAAACGCCACCTTATAAAACGTGTGATGTCAGTGCTGTCGAAAGGTATTGCATTTCTACATAATCCTTTGTACGAATGAAACATTCACAGCTGGAACAAGAAGTACTCCTTTGGATGATGTGTTATTCAATCATATCATCCATAATTATCTTTAAATGCAGCGAATAGGCAACATTACGCTTGCAGATGATTGACATGCCTACGTGTAGATTAATTTACAAATTCCTAAATTTGAGTACTCATTCTTATTACAAAGTAAAGTTTTTCAAAGTAGAAAAATTCATAGCATTATTACAGACTTCATTGAACTTGCATATACCATTAAATGTGATATATACCCTCGTCTGTTTACATACTTGCCTGTATGTTGAACTTCTTTCGCACCGTACGTAGCCAACCGTGGTAATCGGAGGTGCTTGTATAATAATATAATCAGCCTACATCTATTTTGATATTCCTGATTATTTCGGTAAAGTCACGTAGAAGGGAAACAATAAAATACAAATATAAAACAATAAAATTCTCACGAAGTTTCGACTGCAACACAAGCAGTCATCATCATCATCAGCATACCGAAAGAACCAAGAATATGAATCCCTGCAGTCACGAAAGCTTTAAATCAAAATCTATTTTGATGTTTGTGACAATTTAAAGTTGAATGGTTTTTAAAAGTAATAATAATTTGCACCAATTAGGCGCCTTTCACAATGTACATAGGCGTCGTGCATGCAAACCATAAAGATAATACAGAAATAACTGGTTGGTAATGTATGGGCAATTGGAAGTTTTAAAAAATGTTTAATTTGTACGTGCCAAATTTTGTTCGAGGAAATAATATATTTGTAAATGTAATATTGATTTATACTGGTACACGGTTTTCAATTTCTTTCGGACATCAATTGCTTTGGACTAATTTATATTTGGCTGTTTTTCCTCCAATTTATATTTTACTTCATTGTTGAGTTTGTTTTTACACGATTGATTCTTATAACCCAGGTCACTCTCGCATATCAGGCTACCTTTGTCTCAGGTTCTCATCTGATTAAACAAAAATAGACTTGAAAAGCAATGAAAGGCATTCGGATACAAATCGCTTCAGTCTTTTGTAAAATCATCTACTGATTTCCAGGAGCCTGGCATACAGTGCTCCCGCACACATGTGCACCACATCTCTCCAAAGCCCTGTGCTCTGTGCACATGAGTTATTTAACACATTGGCTGGATTAATGGAGGGATCCTGAAGGCCTGGCTATAAAATGTGTTCGCAGAAGTCTGTTGTTGTATGCATAAAAACATATCTGTGTGTGCACTGTAAACGTGTGTATTTACTAGAAGCAAAGGCCAATTATTATAATTGCGATTGTAATTTTGTAGTCTCAATTCATTCAAATTTCGTTCATTCTAATACTTATTATCACTGTAACTGACATTGCGTTTACGCACTGCACTCGGATAATGGCTACCTCAGTTGAATTCCTGGCCACGGCTAACATCAGTGGCGAGTGGTATCCGAACCGGTCCTGGGCTCATCTCAACAAACCCCAAACCCACACTGACCAGCGCAGGGGTCGGCAACCAAAATAACATGTCATTTTTTTCGAATTTGGCAAAAAAAAAAATTCACGTGAATACGAGACGGCGGTTCTTAATAAATAACATCACGAAGCAGTCCTTCATGAGCTGCATGCGGTTCCAGAGCTGCAGGTTGCCAACCCCTTGCCCATGGTGAACTGGACTTCCATGGTGAACTGGACTTCCATGGTAAACTGGACTTGCATGGTAAACTGGACTTCCATGGTGAACTGGACTTGCATGGTAAACTGGACTTCCATGGTGAACTGGACTTGCATGGTAAACTGGACTTCCATGGTAAACTGAACGTCTATGGGGAATTGGACTTCCATGGTAAACTGGACTCCCATGGTAAACTGGACTCCCATGGTAAATTGGACTTCCATGGAGAATTGGACTTCCATGGTAAACTGGACTCCCATGGTAAACTGAACTCCCATTGTGAATTGGCCTTCCATGGGGAATTGGACATCCATGGTAAACTGGACTTCCATGGTAAACTGAACTTCTATGGGGAATTGGACTTCCATGGTAAACTGGACTCCCATGGTAAACTGAACTTCCATGGTAAACTGAACTCCCATTGTGAATTGGACTTCCATGGGAAACTGGACTTCCATGGTAAACTGAACTTCCATGGTGAACTGGACTTCCATGGTAAACTGGACTTCCATGGTAAACTGAACTCCCATTGTGAATTGGACGTCCATGGGGAATTGGACATCCATGGGGAATTGGACTTCCATGATAAACTGGACTCCCATGGTAAACTGAACTTCCATGGTAAACTGGACTCCCATGGTCAGGGGTCGGTCGGCATCCAAAATACCAACAAGAGCAATTTTTTTCGAATTCGACCCCTGGACCAGCGTCATTAAGTATGGTTCAACAATCACATCCAGCAGGGGACTGACAAAAGGGGTGTACGTTATTTATTAACTTATTATACTTTATTGCAATATAATCATCAGCCTTGAGAAATCAACCACTACATGAAAACCTCTCCAAGTGATTGCAATTCTCACGATCCTCTGATGCGATGCAACCATCCACTTGGCACTTGCACACAAGCGGATTAAATAACTCCATTCCCTCTGTGGATATTCTCTCAGCTGCATTTAATTTATCGGCTGCCATTCCGTCATTATCCTTCACCACAGGACATCATCCCTGCCCAACCTCACTTATTTTTATGAACAGTTTGATTTGTTTGTTAATTTGCATATATTCTCTAATCAATGTGTTCATCATTCTGTCCCTGCATGAAATCCAAGCATTGTTGCAAGGCAGTAATTCAAAAAGAACATGAGCTGCAATTTATGACTTCACAACTATTGCATACCGAAACTTTGATAACAAATGACATAACTAAGTTTATTTATTTGTACAGATTGATAGTATCTCCGGATCTCCACATGCACACAAAAATCTGTTGTCTCTGTCGTATTCATAAGGCATGCCCACATTTTATGGGAGGACAAGCCTGTTTTGTTTTTCACATTCACGAAAATAAACTTTTCAGTTTCTGCATATTCCCAATACGCCTTACACCAACCCATAATGTGCCCAATTTCGTCAGAGCTCAGTAGCTCAGCTCCGTAGAGCTTGGATAGTGCTTGGATGGGCAATAGCTATGTACAGCGATGTTGCCTGGCAGGGAGCAGTGAAGCTAACTCTATTGTTGTAATGTCCTATACGCACCAAGTCAATGTTAGCCATGGCCCGGGAACCAAACTCACATTTGCCAGTTTTGCAGTGCACTGCACCACCACAATCTTGTATATGATATTTAAAGTAATTTCAGCACCAAAAATAACCTTCTTTGGAAAGGATGAAATATCTTCCTGTAACAACCAATGCCTTTGTAATGTGTTCCATTATCCAGGAGTTACCTATCCAACGGGGGATTGGGCAATCCGTGTGAGAATCAGCTGACCACCTTTATTGCAACACGAGATAAAAGCCTTGGAGGCCACGGGGCACATGAGCTCATCCATAGAATGCGAGTAATGTGCTAAAAAAATAAAAAATTTGCTCTAGAAATAAAATCTTGGCAAGACCAAGGCAGGTGGATTTATTAATTATTTACAATATACTCTGCTACGATCCCAAAACGGAAAGCATTACTTATCGCCTTTTCACAACACAGATTTACACTGTGGTTGGAGCATATGGAAACCTAGATAATACTGTTTTCTAAGTGTACTGTCTTTACCAAGTTCTCGGGAATGCAAAAACAAAGTTTGCCAATGGCATGTTTCCTGCAGGCAAAAAAAAATACAAACGAAAATACTTCCACAAGCTCGACCGAGCAACTTTAAGTCTACATTCCAGCAGCAATTTTACGCAACAGACAATATTGCCAACCATGGCTTCATGCAATTCAACATGAGCAATGTGTAATTCCATAAGAGATGGTGTGGCTATGATTACTTGTCTCCTATACCCGATTTGTTTTGATGAAAAAAACTAGCTTCATTTCATGAAATGTTGAACTGGTTGTTCTAAGAATACAGAATTTTTTTATTTTAGTCTACAATAACATTGCACAATCATTGAATAATACATTTTTTTACGTTCCATGATATATTAATGCACAGCTAAAGCAAGCGGCCCGCCACACCGTCAGTCACGGGGGTTATTTGACCAGAGTTCATAACAGGTTTGGTATGTGGAGTGGCGGTGGTGGGTACATTCATCTCCCTCGCAGATAGGGTACAAGCACAAGCATACACTTCAAGATTCTTTCGCAACTTCCTTCATGCAGCGCGAGAGAACCGCTCCGTCAGTGCAAACAGACGAAGGAATTTCACATCGTGTTCTCGTTCGGAAAGGAGGGGGGGGGGGGAAAATGTCAAGGGCAGGTGAACTGCTTGAAAACGTCACGATCCCGCTTCATTTTCGCCGTACACATTGAACGCGTGCTTGGGCTCATTGCGCAATGATGTGTTGTCAAACCCTGCGTCGACATATTTTGTACAGTTTATTCGTTTGGTCTGCGTAAAAAAAAAAAAGCGTCGCGCACATTTATTCCCGATTGCGTAAACACACAATTTAGAAATTAGACAATGTCCATGATACATTTACGTGTATGTGGTTCGTCACTTTGGCAACAACGAGGAACTTTCTCATTTTAAACAATGCTAATAAAATAGCCAAAATTGACTCCTTGCTAAAATCAGAAATGCACGGTGCTAAACTCTTAGTTTTCAGCCCCGGCACCGAGTGTTAGAAATTCCACATTCCTATAGTGGGCACCAGTCTCTCATCAGGGGATGCGCCACTGACGACAGTGTTCAGGGGTAGGCGTCATTGGCAGTCGTCTGGAGTTAAATATTTCGAGGGGGGTGCAAAATAATGGGAATTCAGAGTTCCCACCACCCATCACGACACGTCCTGTATTCTTCTTTGCATTAATTATGTTTCTGTATTTTGTTTTTGTTGTTGTTGCTGTGATCAAGCACCATGGATCTACCTTGAAAAATAGCCAGAAAACTGGCTAAACGAGATCATCCGTGTGACAAATCAAATCATCTTAAACTCGGGAGGCCCAGGGCCCCAGCCACCGAGACAGACGCGACGTATTATTAACCTCGCATCACCCCTGCTTCGTTGACATGCCACTCAGGATCAGAATAGTTATTTATCCTGGAGAAATACAATGAGCTATGAAGCTCTTCTTCACAGATGTCCAGCGGGGGCGTGTCATAAAGATACAATACCAAAGAATACACTGCAAAGTATAGGAAAGGTAAGCAAATCACGAAATATAAATATGTAAAATAAAATATACGAGTTCAAATTGCATAATTACACCAATTCTCGGGCAAGGCAGCAAAGTAACGGCAAGAACAGTCCAAGACCACACAGAGACAACACGCAGTCTCTCAATAGAATTGAACAAAATTTAACTATCGATACATGGGTAAGGATGAAAGTAACGGAACTCGGAGGGGCAATAGTGCAAACGTAACTCAAAATAATTTGAGGATTCATTTGCGTGCGGCAGACAAGGATTTACGCTCACCTGAATACCCAATGTCAACAGCGTTCCCGCGAGCCCACTCTCGGCCTGCTCGATTCTCTTACGCTCCTTTTGTCGCTGCAAATAAACACAACAAGCAGCAGCAAGGTCAGCAGAGCAAGAGAGGAATGCAGAAAAGGTGGTTCTATTACTATCCACGGTAAATAATGACTCCAGGAGAGATAAAAGCAAGCAGGGCGACCAGGAGGTATTATGGAAATATTTGGTTACTAGCCTTTTGCCCGTCCAAGGACGAGTGTATTGCAGTAAATGTGAAACTTGCAAGCGAAAAGCACAGACCGGCGACGTGAGATATTCATTGCATCAATTCGTGTGCAATTTGTAATGGCGCGGAGACACAGACTTATTTCATTTTAAGGTTATAATCCCTTGTTCATTGTGACGTCCTTTTTACTTCGATGTCTCAACAGCGTTACGGAGATCACGTGACGCGAGGGTTCTGCCTCTGTAGTGAGGGTTGTGAGTTGACGCTGAGGAGGCGCCTCGCCCCCCCCCCCCATGTGGAGTGATGTCACCCGGTAATTATTAATGGTGGGGGGGTGTCCATTTGGTCGACGTAACCTGTTCATGATTATTAATGAGGGGGGCTGGTCGCCGTGGAGTGACGTCACGCGCGGGACACAGACATTCTTGGCTCATTATAGTCGTTAATATTGTCTTTGCTGTTGTTGATGTATTCATCAAACATTTAATATTTAGTTTAATACTTGATTCGGATTCCTATTTATTCCAGATGTAAGTTGCAATTCGCCCGAGTTTCACATAATTAGCAATTTCACATCTTGTTTTACTTCTGTTGTTCAAAATTGTGTGTTATTGATTCTTTGTTTTTACCTGGATATTTTTTTAATTAAACCTGTGCTTCAAACCAGCATGCCTTTGCAAGTACATCCAAGTTTAATTGTGTCCTCATGGGTTCCTTTCTAATTCTTGATTAAATAAACATCCACTACCATTTACAGTCTTATAATTGAACTTATACGCCCATTAAATTTCTGCCAACAACCCTTTACCCTCCCACCCATTGCCTATCGACACTTTACGAATAAGTGAGAGACTGAATGATTTATAACATACTAGCGGGAAGTCCCGGCGTTGCCCGGGCGAAAAATATATTTTAAAACTTCTCTTAAAAACCTTAAATAAACATTCACAGATACTAAGCTCCTGTGAAAGCTCGGTGAGCCGTTTGTCCATTTCTCCACCAACAAAATTATAAGAGGCTTGCAGAAGTCCAAAAAGGAATAGAAAGTGGGGGGTAAATAGTTGATCTAAAATGTTTCCGAAAATTGTCGACCCCACCCCCCCCTCAAAAAATGCATTTACCCCCGTGTAGGTAAATATACCTACACACCCTACATACAACAAAGTAGTATCTATTGACTCTGTAGTTGTATCTACTGACTGTACAGTAGTATTTACTGACTGCAGTATCTACTGGCCCTACAGTAGTATCTACCGACTCTATAGTAGTAACTACTAACTCTATAACAGTATCCACTGACTCTATAGCAGTATCTACAGACTCTATAGCAGTAGCTACTGACCGTAGTAGTATCTACTGACTGTAGCAGTATTAACTGAGCATAGTGGTATATACTAACTGTTTTAATATCTACTAACTCTATAGTAGTATCTATCAACTCGATAGCAGTATCTACGATCACAACAGCAGTGGATACCGACTGTGATGGCATCTGCTATCACTACAGCAGTTCATACCAACTGTGGTGGTACCTGCTTTCCCTACAGCAGCGCATACCGACTGTGGTGGCACCTGCTATCACTACAGCAGTGCATACCGACTGTGGTGGTACCTGCTATCACTACAGCAGCGCATACCGACTGTGGTGGTACCTGCTATCACTACAGCAGCACATACCGACTGTGGTGGCACCTGCTATCACTACAGCAGTGCATACCGACCGTGGTGGCACCTGCTTTCACTACAGCAGTGCATATCGACTGTGGTGGTACCTGCTATCACTACAGCAGTGCATACTGTGGTGGTACCTGCTATAACTACAGTAGTACACGTTAACTCTATATCAGTATATATCGACTCCATAGCACAAACTACTAACCTAACAGTGCCGTCGTGAGGCCTAGTCCCGTGCAGAGCCCCCGTCCTCGCCTAGATTGCCCAGCCGGCCGAGGTGGCACCTTGGCAGGCTGGGGATTCGGCCGTTAACCTCCCCCCACCATCCCCCCCGCCCGCTCTACAATAAAAGTATCTAAACGCTATATTAGTATCTACCGACCCTATAGAAGTGCACACATTGGGGTGGGGGGGGGGACATGACACTTTGAAGAATTTACCTCAGCGTTGTGTTTATTTTGTTTTGCATTTTTAACGCGAATGAGAATTCACCCCCCCCTCCACCGATGGCGCGTTGCTAGGGGTAACCCCTGTCAGCTTTAACGTTCGCAGAGCGGTGCAAGGAAATAAATAGATAATAATAAATAGCCCTACATTTTTTATTTAACTACTTTAAAGTTGACGGATGGGAAAATGAAATAGCAATGGCTCACCACGGAGCTTATGGCGTGGTACCTGGCTACTTTTTTTAAACGTAAACCCCACGGTTTGCGAGCCAAATCCTTCGCAAGTTGCGTCCACAGACAAACAGATGGACAGACGGAGAGACAGACAAAAAATTACGTTTATATGTTAGAAGCAAGGCTCAGATAGAAGCAAGGCTCAGATTATTCATTACACCAGGGACATGATGGTTAAACATAGACAACAAAAGGCATGATTGTGACAAAAGGACTGATCGTCCCATCATGCCTTGCATATCATGTGACATCATCATCACAAGGCTTGTATAGTGCACAACAGACTTGTTTCAGATGACCAACTCAAGGGTCAAAATGAGATATGATGCAAGAACTCAAGGCATGGTGGAGGGTGGTGGTATATAATGACGTTAACAGTCCAAGGTGATGTTTATTCAGAGGCTGAACATAGATACAAGCCTTAATTTCCCAATGATGACCCAGACTGTACATTTATCTGCAGGTGTCAACTTATTGCTAGGTGAAGGCCTCCCCATGTCGTGTTAATCATGGCGGTTGTTTGACCATACTTCACCACGCTGCTTAGTGCAATTTGGTGAAGTGGGAGCCCAGGGTAAGTTCGGCTATCACTCGCCACTGATGTAAGTTGTGGCCGGGAATCAAGCTCAGGTCCAGTGGTAGTGCAAGCCAATTGGGGGTCCCCTGAACAGAAATTAATTTGGGGGCCCTTTTTCAATTCATCCAATCAATATAATGATATATTTACTTGTGGATTTATTCCGGAAGCCATATTGAGTCATCGGGAACCTTTCAGGAGAGTCATGTATTGTTTTTTATTTTAAGATGTTTTCAGCCAATGAATGATCAGTGTTTATATAAGTGGGAAAAAAAACCTATGCATGGCAGGGGGCAATGCTGTCCCCGTACAGATGGAAACAGATGGCGATTAGTCCACTTCCTGTACTGCCTTCTCCCGGCAAGCCAGGGTACCTGGCACCTTGACGCCCCACGGGAAGGGAGTTTGATAAACAAAAAATGTGTGCAATCCACTAACCCTCGCCACCACAGTGCTGGATTACAGGTGTGTGCTTGATGATAGACAATAAATGTAGATGTAGTGAGAAAAGAGAAATGTAGACAAAAATGTCATAAGATGCAGACAAGATGTACATGAGAGATATTCATTGTTGCTTTATGTTAATTAGATTATGTTTATTCGAATTTGAAGCAAGCTGATATTTAATGGACCCTAATTTTTGAAGAATCTGGGACACATTTTGCTTGGTTTGTTTATATGCATCGCACCGGCACTGTTCAGATGGCCAGGTTCGTAGTAAGCCAACGCTTCGCCACCCTACATTCCTCACCAGGGTGCAAATGCAGGTCTGAGCGCACACACGGAACAGATCACAGCTGTGTGCGCCAAATAGAGTGCAAATGCTGTATTCAAGCTGTAGTCATTCATGTGCGTTACCAACCTATGATGTATGCCAAGGCGAAGTGGTACCACTTATGTTTACTCTTCCACAACAATCCTCAGTTAGACCCTTTTTCCCCAAGTCATGCTATTCTAGAGTAAACCCATAATGTAATGGTTCCCGGTTAAACTTTAACAAAGTTAAAAGGAAAATAAAGATGTTTTTTCTCCGTTTTATTCCATTTACGTATAGCCACTTTTACCGACACCGCAAGCGTTCGGAATTTAAACGGATTACATTTATGCATTTAACTAACATTTATGTATGTACACAAGAGAACATACGCAAGTTAGAGACATCGTACTGAATATTAAGAAAAGTGTGCTTGACCAGGGCTTATCACTGTTTATGCCTCCTCGGATTGGTTACAAAAATGTTGTATTCAACAATAACACGTTTCAAAAACTGTTGCTTTTCCATCCTGCCATACGAAAGAAGATCACTATTACAGATGAGATGTCCAATGGCCCAAAGAAACAATAGAGTGGAGATAAAGCAATAAAATCAGCTTGTGTGCAAGGTGCTAGATGGTTTGTTGCATCGCAAGATCGTGAGAGATGGCAAGGGCCTGGGAAAGGACTTCATTTAGCAGTGGCTTGATCATGGTTGATGATATGTAGAGAGTAATGTATTTATATAAACAGACAATTACTGTACACCATTATTCAAGTCAGCTATACAAATAGTTAACACACAAGACGATACTTAAACTAAATGGGACGAGGAAAATATAAATTGATTTTGCGGACAATGGCATTTTCTCAACCATTATCGGTGCCACCCAGGAGAGAGATTAAGGCAGGGGCGAGGAACCCAACACACCCCTTGGGCTTCATTTCACTGGGGCCCATGGCTACGCGAGGCTGACCACTTTTAAACACCTAACTCACTACAAACATCTTAGCCGGGTGCCTATGTCTGGAGCTGCGACTCAACGTCAATGGGTTTGGCGATAGGTAGGCAGGCGCAGGCATCACATTGGTACGGTAAAGGCGAGCCCCACGTTTATTTTGGGATAATATTAAGGTGTGTGTGATGTGTGCCCACACTACCGATCCTTCAGGAGGTATTTAAAAGTTCTACTCAATTCTCATTAAGGAAATAATTCCCTACTCCTGGATTAAGGGGAGTGAGAGGGGGTTCGCTTTCATAAACTAAGGTACAAAGCTTATACCGTGAGACAACAGTAAAGGTGGGGTGAAAAGGTCTGGCCTTGTGCGAGCAATGATTACCCTGGGTTCTTGGTATGGGGAGTGCAAGTACTCGACACAGTCAGGAGAAGTTGAGCAACCCACTGCGTTGAAACGTTCCATTCATAAACATCCTCCAAATTACTAAACCATATGGACAATATACTTTTTTCTGTGTACATGGAAAACATTTATGAGGTGTAAAAGGTTGAGCATTTCTCCATATTGTATGCACGAAGATAACTGCATTCAGCTCATCATCAGCCTTCAACCACTGCTGCATGAAGGTCTCTCCCAAGCTGTTGCAATCTTTCACGGTCTCGTGATGCAACAATCTATACAGCTCCTGCACAAGCGCTGCTTTCCCTCTGGGTGCCACTCCGCTTTTAGTCTCGACAGCCACTTTATCATTCCTTCTTGTGACGCGGCGTCCTACCAAAGTCGAATTACTTAATGGTTAATTTGATATCTCTAACTTGAGCTTGTTCTCTATTCAATGCTTTGCCGTTTGTTTTTCATTGTAATTCCAAGGAGGTAATTCTCCATTATTCTTTTTGAACTTTTCAGATTTTGCTCCATTTACATGGTCAATTTGAGTGTTTTTGATCCATATTTCATATCAGGGAATTCACGTCAGGGTTGTGGTTCCTTCTATAAATGGCTTTATTATTTCAAAAACTTTTTATGAAATAAGTTTCTTTGGAGTCACAAATTAAAAATGGCACATGATCGAACGAGAATTGCAGTGGCAATCTGCTGTGTTGTTGATGAATGTGTCGAGTTTGTGTTATTTGCGCTTGTGCACCACTGCCGACGCAGTATCACAATATTTGTGTGTGTGATTGGTGGGCAAGGCAAGCTGCTAAAAAAATGACTACTTTGTGTATCCGTGTTTAAAATCTCAGTTGCACTGTCATTGGGAAGGACAACATGGACACATGCCAGCTCACTTTTCAATGTGCATTTTTCACAGCCAAGGGAACGAAATGGAACAAGGTATAGGTTACCAAACCACCCCACCTTAGTTTAAACTAGAATATCCACATCAACTCCATCTCAGGCTTCACCGATCATATGAAATGCACGAAAAACGCAAGTGTTGCCGTGGAGCATTCTGGGTATAAACATAAGCATCAATCGGTTCCCTGTCTCCATATATAAACAACACATTAACGTAGTCCATCAGCCAGTGTTAGTCAGCAGCATATGTATGTGAAAGGAAACGCACAAGATTGGTTTCAACCTTCAAGGTCTCACCATCAGATAGGCTCGTTGCACAAATGCTGCTCGGTTAGCAACCTTGGCAAGAGCACTCCATCGAAACTCCGGGGCCTTGTTCCACACAGCTCAGAGACACACTTTACCTTTTTCTTGGCCCTCCTCTTTTCTGCCTTCCTCTTGGCTTTCTCTTCCACGTGTAAAAGCTCATCTCCCATCCTCCGCTAGTTCTGCCCACAGAGAAAACAATCCATAAAAACGTTAAAAAAGGCAAAAGTATACTTTTAATTGTGTTATCCCATTTACGATTGCTCTTTGGAAATGACCTTGCGTCAGGAACATCAATCTTCATTCGACGCCACAAGTGTGCAAGATAATTAGGATGCAACGTAGATTTTTATCCCTTTAAGTTCGTGCTGTTTTCTATGCCGACCTTGGCTCCATTGGATAAGTCATTATAGAATTTAAAAGATGTAAGGATTCAATGAAAATATATTAAAAGGCAAAGAGCCAAAGTACAATAATTTGGATAAAATTAAATAAACCATATGGTGCATTGGATAATATTGTTATAAGCACACAATAAGGAGCTAAATTAATTACTGTTCATTTATAAATATATATATAAATTGTGAGTCTTACCATTTTAAATTGAGTTTCTTTAATTAACCAAATGTGCCCCGTATTGTTCAGATGAAGAGCAAGGATAACACAGTGTGTGGGCGTGCTTTCTCAAATGAAGGCCGATTGCAAATGAAACACAAAACTTTGAAAAAAGTGAAATAAAAATGCGGGACTTTATAAGGTGTCTTCATGAGGCACATTACAACACAGCTGGAATGCCCTCTGATCCATGATCATGATGGCGGATTGTTTTGCTGCACATTTGCTCCACTTATCCACGGGAAAAAAAATATCTGAATAGTGCTGATCAAACGCAAGAACAAGGCGGCTCATAAGTAGATAAGTCGAGTTCTCCACTACGTATCTCCTGTAAAGGAAAAGTCGACAAGAGAACAATATAGGAATAGATTTTACCCTTTTAACTGGCACAAAAACTGACACCTTTATTCAAGGCATCATGTTTGCAATAACCACAACACAAGCAGTCAAAATGCAAACAAAAAAGACAACTCTGATAATAATATGCACTGTCCTTGAATTTGATTGGTCCACACCCGAGACAGCTTTTCTTAGAGCCTAGTCTCCATTGGTGTTGGACCAGAAGACGCTAAAAGGCGTACAACTCAAAAACAGCGCACTATCAGAGTATTGAGGGCTCGGGGTGAGCATTTACATTTTGATACCTCCTTTGCCAGAAACAAGATATAGGAATAGATTTTACCCTTTTAACTGGCACAAAAGAATAAAGGTGTCCGTTTTTGTGCCAGTTAAAAGGGTAAAATCTATTCCTATATCTTGTTTCTGGCAAAGGAGGTCTCATAATGTAAATGCTCACCCCGAGCCCTCAATACTCTGATAGTGCGCTGTTTTTGAGTTGTACGCCTTTTGGCGTCTTCTGGTCCAACACCAATGGAGACTAGGCTCTAAGAAAAGCTGTTTCGGGTGTGGACCAATCAAATTCAAGGACAGTGCATATTATTATCAGAGTTGTCTTTTTTGTTTGCATTTTGACTGCTTGTGTTGTGGTTATTGCAAACATGATGCCTTGAATAAAGGTGTCAGTTTTTGTGCCAGTTAAAAGGGTAAAATCTATTTCTATATCTTGTTTCTGGCAAAGGAGGTCTCATAAAGAGAACAATACTTATCTCCCAGACAGGACAATGCTACTTATCTCCCGTACAGAATTCTACTGATCTGTAACGCTCTGCATTGTAACGCTCTGCACCTCAAGCTGAGAGGAATGAAACTTCACGAAATTATTATTTATATACTTTCAAAAATATGTCCGGAATGTTGGAAGCGTACAATTACCGTGCACACATTCACATGGAGACGAAAAAGACAAAAACAACTCAACCGGGGCTTATGTTACGTTGCGTTTGTAATGTGGTGATATTTTTATTTTTCTCACCTTTACTGCTTATTTGGGGAGACTACCGCTCTTTGCAAGAGCGATCCAGCGTTTCAGCAGAGAATATATTTCGAGTTTGTCGTGCCCTTGACGAATTCAACCTCTTAATTTGGGTCTTACAAAAGATCTATGAGCATTTACCATATGGGTGTGGTTCATTGCACTTATCCCATTGCGGTTGCGCTATGAACCAACGTCTCAGCCCCTCCTGAACTCACACAGACCAGAGCAGACTGAAGAGGCACAGGTACAATACAGTGCTGTCCCGCAATTACTCATTGAATATTATTCTCACAAATGGATTCCGAGCTGAAAATAAACAATGTCTAGACATTTCTACAAACGCCTGGACGTGTTTTGGAGCATATTCATTAAAAAAAGAATACTTCATTTGTGAACTCGCCACTCGATGCAATTTGCAGAACCACAAGGTATCTTATTAAAAAAAAAGCAATCTATTCATGACATTGTGATATTAACATAGCCGTGATTGCGGTTGAAATTACACAGTAGTGTCGTTTCACTTAGACCAACTTGACACAACGAATTAATGCATGTAACCGAAAAGCATTCACAATATATTAATAAACAAGACAATGCTTCCCAGATAGGTCATGTTGTTTACATGAAATGTAATCAATCCAACACTGAAGACGTGTCTCGCAAATTAACGAATAGCAAGCAAAATACAGAAATAGTTGATGTTCTTGTGTACTTCCCATGGTAGTTAATTAAAAAACAATAATTTCATCATGTCTTAATGCAAAGGTGCTTCCCAGAAAACAATGAAAGTTGGGCCAAAGGTTCCAAACCACATGGTGACTGACGTTGGCACGTTTACTGGGGGGGGTTAACAAAAAAGGTACAAATCAGGGTCTGCTACCATTCTTTAACATGACAACACATTTACGTCATTCATAATATGCACAGGAGCTGTACTACTCACAACTGCCAATTCGTTTTTAAGAAAAATTATGACGTGAACTATCACTTCACATATTCCTCGTAAAAACACAGGTGTCTATATGCAGAATACACAAACGTGTGCATTGCCTACTATAATCACCCAGAAATGTCTGTCCGTCCTGCACGTGACGTCACTCCACATGAGGCCCACCCCTCCGTGTGACGTCACTCCACATGAGGCCCACCCTCATTAATATTCATGAGTGGATCTTGACACTGACGCAGGTCGAGCTGAATTAAATAATTTATTACGCAAAGTCGCTTCAAATATGACGTTTCTTTACAGAAAGTGACGGTAAAAAATAAATCTACACAGTGACATATCCGTGCGTGACGTCACTGCAAAAGAGCCCCCCCCCTTCATTAATATTCATGCACGCGTGGAAATTTACACGAACACACAAGGTCGCGCACTCCACACGCCGCACCCCTCCCCAATAACCATTAGCGGGTGACGTCACTCCACAGGCCGCACCCCTCCCCAATAACCATTAGTGGGTGACGTCACTTCACATGGGGCAACACCCCCCCCTCTCATTAATAATGAGCTGAACTATTTTTCTAATGAATATTTCAGATTTACTGCAATATACACACACACCTGTCCTTGGACGGGCAAAAAAGCTAGTAATTGATAAGAGTTAAATGGTGGCAGAGATCATTTTGGTCGTAAGTTTTATCTACGAGACATTTTTAAGCCCGGTACAGTGCGACAAAAATAAGCGTACATCACTTTATTTAGGCAAATTCATCGGTTGCGACAGTTTAATTCGAAAAAAAACCTCAATCTTGTACCGTTCCATTTCAGTGGTGCAACGGAGTTATGTTTCCATTGCTGCTGGTAGCTCCCATGCCTTCATCCAGCAGTGGATAGGCGAAAAGGGCTGTTAGATGAGCGTAACAGTATTTTCTCGCAAAAATCTCGACGTCTTTCTATGTACATTAATGCTTGCAACGTGACACCCTTGTCTAACAAAGCATTCTTGTGTGAGAGAGAGAAACAACTGAAAGCCCATAGACATTGCAATAGTTGAAAGACGTCGTTTATCATGTGCATTTGGAAGCAGGCAAGTCGTAGCCACATTCTTCCATCCAATTATTCGCTTTAACGTAACTTCTTAAAATTTAAATTTCAATGAAAGTTAAACACGCTCGCCAATAACAATGCCCTAAAAAGTCAAAATACACGAGTTTGACGTTCTGTACAATGGCCCTTCATAGCGCACAGGATGGACCACTGCTAACGTGACATTATGCATGAGCAGATACTTAATTAAAACACATTGGTGAAATCTTGACTTAAAGCTTTCGTGACTGCAGGAATTCATATTCTTTGGGTCTTTCGGCAAAGTCACGTAGATAGGTTCAAAGAAAATAACAAAAAAATACAAAAAAAACTACGACGTTTCGATCACGACACAAGCGATCGTCATCAGGAGGAAATACACATTTTGGGGTGGGTGGGGGGGATATTTGCTTCATCTCGTGTGCATAAGCCACTAAGCCAGGCTGCATCACAGGGTGGTCCAGATGTCCCGTGACACCCCCCCCCCCCCCCCAATTAATGAATTGGATTGTTTGTTGTTCTTGTAACGTTCTGGCCTGCCCCTGTGAAGAAGAGCTTTATAGCTCATCGTATTCCTCCAGTATAAATACATATTATGATTCTGAAACGCACTGTGCTTAAATACAGGCAACGCAAACGCTTTACTCACGAATGTCCACCAATTCCGAAACTAAAAGTTATGCCACGATAACAATGGAAGAAGGTATCACATAGACATAACATACTGTGGTTTTAAAGTGTAGTTTTAAATATATACTGTATATGCAAAAAACATAGTAAATTATCCAGTGCCTTTGAACAAATGAGCCGGATTGCACCCACCCTGTCTTGCCAGATCTCGGAGGCTAAGCATGCGTTGAGCCTGGATATTAAATTGGGGGTCACAAGACATTTGAACTACCCTGTACAGTGACATACTACCTAGGTGTGTTCACGGTTGTATTCTATAGCTCTCTGGAGTAGGTCTCCGGAGTATTTCAAGGTTGTACCACCGTGCGTTGTGTTCGGTTTGATGTCCAACGTTTCACGTCACTGAAGAATCTCCCAGGACGTAGGGAAACAACATTGGCAAGGCTTTTGTCATAACCTCTCCCCATTGGGTGTTTAACTCAAATGCATCAAAGCAAAGTACGTTCGTTGTTTAGCTTTACAAGTGAATTATTTTACAGTTCAAGAAACAAAGGCCAAACATTGCATGCCTTTGCAAAGGATAAAAAAAAATAAACACCACCATGTTATAAGGGCATTTTAGAGAGAGAAGAAAAAAAGGTGGTGTCAGGTTATTTTAAACAGCAGTCTCATTTTGAAAAACAAGATTTTATCTGCTGCTATCTCCTTAAGGGTTTCCTGCAAAGTCTGAAATGGAAACAAAATCAAGCAAGGACAAATGTATCCAATGAACGATGCCACGTATCATCACTAACTTTGTCAAAGAATGTTTCCGTGCAATACAGAGTATACTGTACTCGCAATGGATAGTTAACATCTTGTTGACCTTTTCACTTTTTTTATGACGTGGTCACCCTTCCTGGAACCTGGTTTAATTACAAGACTGAAAACAAGTACAGAATGTCCACAATGTGAAATATTTCCCAACTCGCAAAACGGAGTTGTTTTCAGTGAATGGTACTTCAACTCGATCTGTATTATAGACTTAATTTCTAAGAAATACTGTGCAAGCTTTCGTGACTTGAGGAATTCACACTCTTTGGGTCTTTCAGTAAAGTCACGTAGATAGAAAAATAATAAAGTCATAACTTGCTGTGATGCTTCCAGCCTACCTACCGATGTTAACAGTTATTTCTCCGACTCTCTGAGTTACATTACCTTGTTAAATGTCTTTACATTGACAGGCTAAACGTCTCACTAACATAGCCGCTGCTTCCCTTTTCCTCGATGTGGCGGTGACTCTCGTTGTTTAATAAGCTGAATGTCTCTCTCATTAACACAGCCGCCACTGCGGGATCCGTCTCACATTGACATTCTAATATCTAGCAATACAATG